AAATGCCTCCCCCTCACAAAACATCCCTTCGAACGCCCTCGTGCGGAGAGGGGAAGGGTGTGTTAGCCCAGCGCATGCGCGCAGGGACGTCATACGGCGGCTGAGGGAGTTTGTCCCTCGCCGCTGTCCGTCCGTGAGTTGTCAAGGAAGAGGGCGAGGACGCTGCCGGGGAGGTTGACGACGGTCGCCATGGCGGCGGCTGCAGCGGCGGCGGCCGACTCGTTATGGGAAGACCGGGAGGTCCGCTTCGACATCTCTTCGCAGTGAGTGTCCGGGCGGCAGCGAGTCCTGCGCGTTCTCTGTCTCCCCCCCCACACACAAACAAACACATACACGTCACGAGGCCCTCTCCTGCCCCCTCCGGCCCTTCGTTTCAGTGACGCTTCCGGAGTCGAGGAAACGGATTCGCGGCCGAGAGGGGCCTCCCGCTTTCCTTCAGCTTGCTTGCACCCCCTTGAGGCCGCTGGGAGTAGTGGCGTCGCCCGGCCGGGCCTTACCTCCCGAGTCCCCAAGGCGAGGGAGGGCATCTAAGAAGTGGCCGCGGCGGGATTGAAGCGCGTCCTAAATCGGGACTTTGCGGGCGTTTGCTTTCTCTCCCACCTTTGCGAAGCACTTTCCTTTGCGTCTGCAGAGAACAAAAACGTGTAGATAAGGCAACCGCAGATCAGGACTTGTTGCAAACGGTTGTTGTTGTGGTGGTGGTGACGGTGTGTGGTTTAGCTCTGTGGGTTCATTAGTGCAAGCTGGGCACACTGGGCAGCATACACAAGAACAAAAGTTACAATACTCCACAATAACAAATACTGTATACTTTCAAAAACGACAGACAATAATTATACAGTAACCCTATAAAACCTAGAACAGTGGCATCTGCTATTGACAGCATCCCGAGGATTCAGTTATTACAAGCAGCTTTAAATAATTCCGTCTTCAATAATAATAATCATGTGCTAGCAAGTCAGTTCTGATTTATGGCAACTAGAGATGGTGACGAATATAAAAACAGATTGCTTTTTCTGACTAATGTAGCCGATTTGTTAAATATTCATTGATCCATATTTGTGGGTTCCAGAGACCCCCAAGAATACGAAGCGATGAATATTTACCCGTTTTTATTCGTCCTTTCTATTAAAAAAAAAAATTCTGCCTACCAGCTGCAGATCAACTGGTCGGTGGCAGAAAGGCAACCACCACCTCACACAGTCACCCAATACCACAGCCTACCCCCACCCCCTTTATTTCCCTACCTTAAAGATGGGAAAGGAAGGGGGTGGGGGGTGCCAGCCAGAGGCTGGCTGCCCTTTGCAAAGATGGCAGCTGCAGCTTCCCTACCCTAAGTGGAGCCACAGCCGCCATCTTTGCAAAGGGCAGCCAGTCTCCCTTTTTACATGCCATGGCTGCGAAGGCCTGATGGATACTTGGCATCAGCTATTAAGGTAAGTGGGTGTTGGTGGAGGGGGGGGGCTAAGGTAGAAAAATGAAGGGTGTATGGGGGTAGGCTGGCTGGGGCTGGGGGCTGCCTATTGGCTTCTGATCAGTTGATCGGCAGCCGGTAGGTAGAATGGGCTTTCGTGCTGTCTGGTAAACTCTCCTGGGGGGACCCAATTTGTGGGTTGAATAATTTGGATGTCTGATATCCAATTTTCACCAAAGTTGGCAGGTGTGTTGGGGAAAGAAATAGGAAGTGCCGTTGCAATTCTGGAGTCTCTTAAGTACCTGGGGAAGCTTTCCTGGGGGGTCCTCTTTGTGACTATATAACACAGGGGTCTGTGATCCAATGTTCATCAAACTTTCAGGAGTTGTAGAAAAGTGTCTGAGGAAGCTTCTCTGCATATTTGGTGTCTCTAGGTGGTTGGAGGCCAGTGTTATAGTCATTTAAAGTGCAGATGAATTGACTGATCAATTTGTCGAAGAATATTCGTATATTTGTATTCGTTGATCTGTTAAACTTGACGAATAACAGATCAAAATGAATTGCCATTTTTTAATTTGTCCCTGTGGCAACCCCAGACCTACTGGAGTATCCCACCCTGTAGTTATGCTGCCACCAACCATTCCCTGTAAGGAGTCACACAGACCAGGAATGGATTTTAATAAACAAAAGAACAAGGTTTATTGAAACAACAAACAGGGTAAATAAAAGGATCAGGTAAATAGGATACTGGAACGTGGCATAGTCCCAATCATACACCCACAACAGATTAGTTCCCACAGAACACTTTAAGGTAACGCACAGACCCTGAACCTATCAGTTCTGGCTACCTAGATAGAAACCTGAACCTATCAGGTATGTACTAACTGACAAACAGTTGTACCCAGTCTGACACACAGACTCCAACTCCTCTCTCCACATCAGCTCCAAATATATATACTGTACAGCTCCTCCCCCATGATGTCCCGCCTTCCACTCCCCATAGGATGGAACTTTCCCTCCAAACCCATGACAGACAGGTACCATCAGTGCTGTATGTGACAGTCCCCATTTCTAATGGCAACCCTTTCTGGGAGTTTTCAGGTAGAGAAGACTCAGAAGCGGTTTTACCATTCCCTTCCTCCTGGGGGGCACCCTGGGACTGCATAGCTTGCCCAAGACCACATAGGGTTAGCTCTACCCACAGGAGGCAAAGTGGGGGATCAAATTTCCATCCTCTGGCTCCACAGCCAAGTAACCAAACCTTTGCACTTACCCAGTCAGCTGAATTGTCCTCAGACGTAAGGAGGGAGGGAGCTTGGCATGTGCCTGTCAGCATTTTGTTCCAGAGATTAGGGGCCACAGTCAAAAAGCCACCGTTCCTCATATTCTCCTTTTGGCCTCCCCTGGCGTAGCTTTTAACAACATGAATGGAGAAGAGCGGGTGGGACAGATGGGTGATTTCTGGGAGAGACCTACCGACAAGTATCACAGTCCCCTATGTGAACTATCGTATTTTTCCATGTATAAGACTATACTTTTGTCTAAAATATTTAGACTAAAAATTGAGGGTCGTCTTATACATGGAAGAAAGCTGAGGAAAGAACAGAAATAGGTTGAGGGGAAAGCAGGGATCAAAGTGATCCTGCAGAGCTTTGATCCCTGCTTTCCCCTCCACTTGCTAAGCCCTACTTAGATTTCTTAATTTTGGGTTAGAAAGGGGGGGTCTTATACATGGTGGTGTCTTATATACAGAAAATACGGTAGCTTCTTCCTTTGATTTTTTTTTTTTTTTGGCAATACCCATTCAAGAGGTATCTTGGGCCAGACGGCCCTGGCCTGACTTATTTTAAAAGAGCTGTTGTGATTGGAGGGCCATGGAGGCGTCAGTAAACTCCTTGGAAGAAGGGAAGGAGGAAAGAGGAAATGAATGAAAGCAATGCTCTGAGCTGGATAAAGTTTGTATTCTCGAAGGCTTTCACAGCCGGCATCCAATGGTTGTTGTAGGTTTTTCAGGCTGTTTGGCTGTTTGGTTTTCAAACTTCCAGAACATGGCCAAACAGCCTGAAAAATCTACAACAACTAATGGATAAAGTTTCTTTGCCTTATGGTTTTGCAGAAAAATCTGTTTTAAAGATAAGAACAGAGTTTTGACATGAATAAATGCAAGGAAATAATTCATTTTTGCTTACACAGGGGGAGCAGATGATTTCACCTGACCTTTGACACAGTGAATTGACCACTGGTTGTAATAATGTTGAGAATATAACTGAGCAGTTAATAACAGTGATGATAATATTGTAACTCAGATTTTTGTTTTGTTCTCTTTCAAAGAGAACTAATCTTGTAGTTGAGATGGCAGGTCGGTAGAGGGCAGTGTCTTGCTGTCTCTCCAAACTCCCACCCTAATTTCTCTGGAATAATGGTTCACAACGTTGGCTCCCCAGATGTTCTTGGACTAAAATCCATAGAAGCCTATGCTACTGGCTATGCTGATCAGGATTTTTGGGAGTTGTAGTCCAAGAACATCTGGGGACCCAGGGTTGGGAACCACTGGTCTAGAAAGAATAATAGAATAAATAGAAGTTAGTCTTCTATTCCTGTGGTTTTATATTGTTTGTCCTGTCATTTGAATTCTACTTCTAACTCAAGTTAGTCTTTCAGTCACCATTACTTTAGGATGTGATACAATGTGGACTACTGCAGCAAGTTTTCTCAGTCCTTTATTATAAAGTCACAAAACTGCTTCATCTGAGCTAAATTTCCATTTTAGGAACAGCTCATTTTAAAATATTATTATTTTAAAAACAGAAGAAAACAAACATAACTGCTGAGAATGTGATATAGTGAAGTTCAATACATAATATTATGTACCTAAGGGGAAAAAAGAAGGGAAGAAAGAGAAAGAAGCAAAAGAAAAATAATTAAATAAGCTTCTATAAAAGGTTTCTAGATCTCTAAGAGTATATCCATACGTAGCTGTGATCTATAAGCCATATATTCATGTGTTGATAAAGTTGAAAGGTTCCCTATCCATTGAGTTATTGGGCGTGAGTATTGGTCTTTCTAGTGTTGTACTATAAAGCTTTTAGCAACATTAAGAGCATGGAGAGTCCGTTTGCAATCTCCAGCGGTTAATCTCCAGAAGCAGGCAAGTAATTTAGGAGTACACAAGTATCTACAAAAATCAGAGATGCAAAATCATTACAGGTGAGAACTTCAAAATGAGCCTGTAAGAGGAGAGGACCATAGCATGTCTGAGACTTGCAGTGGGAGAATCACAATGCCAACACTTGGATTAATTGCTGAAGTTTTCCTAAAAAGGTGTTGATGTGTTCAGTATATTCTAAACATTTTTATTTGCAGAATAATATAACCTTTGGTTGATTAGGCAATATAGTATATATTATTGTTTTATTCAAGTTTTTACTTGGAAGTTAAACCCGTTAAGTTGTTTGGGTCAATTCAGTCTGTTTGACTGGGATTGGTCAACTTCTAGTATAGAATGGTCCATTTACCCCATTCTATTCATCCCTAGGAGCTTGTGTGTCATATTTAGCTGACAGCAAATATTTGTAAATTCCATAAGCATTTCCAAAAGTATAGGTGACTTTAAAGACTCAGTACTACTGGACCAGATATAGAGAACAGCAGATGCTGCAGTTGTAATTATTATCATTCAGCTGAAAGTGGCAGGTCATATCGAGCCTTCAAAATGGAAGATGGTAACAATTCATCTTCATGTCTATTTAGTTGATCTAAGGTAAAAGTTGCTTTGTTTGCCAGACCTTCTGTAAGCCATGGTGTGAATTTAGCATGTGAAAACGGGCAGATTGAAACAATAATGGCAGTATGCACCATGCTTCTCTTATTGCTGAAATTACAGTGGTGCCTCACAAGACAAATGCCTCGCAGGCCAAAAAACTCGCAAGACAAAATGGTTTTGGCAATGGGGCTGATGACGCGCAAGACAAATGTTCCTATGGCCGAGCTTCGCAAGATGAATGTTTTCCATTTTTTGTTCCTGCCTCATGTTTGCTAATTTTTAAATTTTTTCTATGATGTTAAAAAAGTTAAAGTTTTTAATTGAATTTTTAAAAAATCATCTGCACAAGATGTATGGCTTTAAAGAGCACTTAAAATTGCTACATAACTTTATTGTATTTTAAATGCTGTAAGCCGCCCAGAGACCTTTGGGTAGTGTGGGCGGCATATAAATTAAATAAATAAATAAATAAATAAATAATAAACCCTTTGTAAACCAAATTTGACTTTGTTCTGACTTTTTTTGCCCATAGGAATGCATTAATTAGATTTCGGTGCATTCCTATGGGAAAATGTGTTTCGCAAGATGAATTTTTCCCAAGACAACATTAACCGTGGAACGAATTTAAATTTATTTTGCGAGGCACCACTGTATTTGTTTTGGCATGCATAGACCCTAGAGCTAGCCATTTTGAAAAAGAGGCCAGATAAGTAGCACTGTTCTAAACAACACCAAAATGGATAGTTCAACTGAGAACCACCATTCCAATAGTTTCTACTAGTCTGTAAGCAGGTCTGAGTATATAAGCTAAGATCAGGAAAACTCCATCCACATTCACCATATGTGAGTTGCCTTTTCTTCGAAGAATTTGAAGTAGTGTGGAACCCTGCGTATATTTCCAAAACAGAGTACAGTGGTGCCCTGCATAGCGATGTTAATCCGTTCCGGATTAATTGTCGCTATGCAGAAACATTGCTAAACGGAACGGAAAAAGCCATAGGAACGCATTAAACTTGGTTTAATGCGTTCCTATGGCTCCAAAACTCAACGTTCAGTGATGTTCCTCCATAGTGCCGCCATTTTTGCGCCCTCGGTAAGCGAGGGCAGGGCGCGAAAACACTTGCGGTGGCCATTTTGGGCACCTGGCAGCCATTTTGGAACTGTTGATCAGCTATTTAAAAAATCGCAATGTGAAGATCAGTAAGCGAAACGCTTACCGATCATCGCAATGCGATGTTTTACCTATTCAGAACATCGCAATGCTATCGCATTAGCGATCTAAAAAAATAGATCGCTATGCGAATTTGTCGTTAAATGGTGCACTCGTTATGCGAGGCACCACTGTATTAATTTTATGGAACTATCTGCTAAGAATATAAGAGGATCTGCATCCAAGAGAAAGGCAGGGATATTTCCAAAATCAATTTATTGACATTTAATATGATCATTTGTGAAATATCCCTGGGAATCAATATACCAAAGTCTGGTAGTCTCTGCTCGTTAGGTTCTGCATAGGGTGCCTCTAAAAGAATCTACCAGACTCATGATCCCATTCGGTTTCCACAGAACCTAGCCTCACCCACCCACTTCCCCCATCTTCTCCACAAGATGAAAAAGGCTTCCAGGGCATCTATAAAAACTTCATAACATCCATCTGGACTTTGACTACTCAATTAAAGCCCTCAGAAGTCTGGCGGGGGGCGGGATTCCTACAGACATCTGGGGACTATGGTTCAACAACTCTGAAAATCCCATACTTAACTGCTGTTGTTTTCTGTCAGTACTAACGAAGCTAGCTAAAGTGCCATTGTCTGTGAAAGGTCTTCTGCCCAAACTGGTGCCCAGAGGTTGCCCTTCAGTAATTTCTCGGCTCGCATCACCATTGGAACCTCTGCTGAGGTGGCCATTTTATCCTGAGGTAAAGGAGTGCATTTTCTGATGTCTCCGTCTTGACCATTCCAACTGGGAAAGAAGTCTGCCAAGGGCCCGTACTTCTCAGCTTTCCTGGCATGCTCAAACTGCCTTATTACATTAATTTGTGCCTTTTGGGTGTGATGGGGGGGTGGAATTTAAAGTCGTTAACATACTCAAACTGCAATTGTGCAGCACCTTTACCATTTTAGCAGGCGTTTCATTCAGAAACATTATAACCCAGTGATGTAGACTAGTAGATATTGTGCTCTTCTGTTGATTAAGATGACCAGTGGCCATGGGGTGGGGGTAGGGTGACATCCCAGAAGAATGTCCTAAACAAGGCAGAGACAAACCTGGTCCCTACATGGCCAGAGAAAGAACAGCTGCTGGGAGCTTCCTGTCCCCTTTCCAGGCAGAAATAATGCCAATAAGGACCCTTACATTCCAGAACTAGTGCCATCCCGAGTTTTCTTTCCACCCACCCCACTTCCCTTCCAGTCCCTTTCAATCATGCCTCTGGTAAGTTTGAAGATGTGAATGGTCTTATTATTCTTTGTCAGGTCTTCCAGGAGCTTGTTTCGACTGAAGTAGGGCAAACATGCTATAAACAAACCCTTTTGTTGGCCAGGTAGAGGATAGGTGCTTCCAAATAATTAGAGATCCTAGGATTTTTGTATGCATAGCAGAGCTTACGGTAATTGCTTCAGAAGGTTCGATTTGGAATGTTACCAGCCTACATAAATGAAAGCTCACCAACTGTTGAGAAAATATCTTAAAATATACTGTTCTTGTAGGCAAATGAAAATGAGACCAGGAGAAATTCTAATTGATTGTTTGGATCCTATTGAAGATACCAAAGGAAACAATGGAGAGAAAGGTAACTCTGGAAGTATGAATTTCTAGATATGTCTGTAAATTAGGTCAGACCTTTTGTCTGTCTTGCCCACCACATTTATTTTTTATGAAAGTTAAAAACAGAGCTTGTTATGCAGCTATAGATTAAACTGGAGCAGTGTAATTGAAATTTAACCTGACAGATTTTTTTTTAAAAAAAAGAAAATGTGCAGATATTAGCTTATGCAAAATGCAAGGCAACCCATTGACACTGGAGTGCAGGCAGGTTTTTAAAATCACAAACTTTTTTTTTTACATCAGGCAGTGTTTAATTACTTATGGTGCCATTCCTGCTGTAGAATAAAATCTTAAGATGGAGATACCAGTAGGGATGCACTACTTGATCCACCCTATATCTTTCCAGCTGGAAAAGATAGGGGGTGAATGAAACTGATTCTCTAGCCAAGGCACAGATTAATACAGTGGTGCCTCACTTAGCGATGTTAATCCATTCCGGAAAAAACATCGCTAAGTGATCTCATCGCTAAGCTATTTAAAACGTATTTAATATGTTCCTATGGGCTAAAAACATACCTTGAAGCGAATTTCCTCCATAGCGGCAGCCATTTTGGGTGCCTCTACAGTGAGGCAAAACAGCGGCAGCCAATTTTTTGCAGCAACAGCCATTTTGGAACCGCCAATCAGCTGTTTAAAAAAGTTTGCTTTGCCATGATCGCTCCCCCGCGATCATCGCAAAGCGAATTTTCGCCATAGAGGACATCGCTAAGTGATTGCTCCAGCGATGGCCAAAAGTCCATCGCAAAGCGATTTAATCGCTCAACAGAGTGATCGCTAAGCGGGGTGCCACTGTATATTTCTTCAGTACTTTAGCTAGAGATGGAGTGATGTCTTTAGAGGTGGTCCTATCTGTGATGTCAGTGGTGTGACCCAGTTCCTCATATCATATGACCCATGGATGGGTGTCAGGGGAGGTAATGCTGGCCAATAAAGATTTCCCACCAATGCTTCCCCTAAAGGTTGCTATAGGGCTTGAGTATTTTTGTTTTTCAAAATTTTAAAGAGGAGGCGTGGGAGAGGGCTACAGAAATGACACCTGTTGCCTATCCCTTCTGTATTTTTGAGGTTTCTTCTCAGGCCAGTTTTTAAAAATATTTGTATAAATGCAGTTTTTTAAAAAAAATCATAGCATATACTATCATCTGCGTATCTGAGGGAGCCCCCAGAGTTAGCGGGAGCCACCAGTGCTCTCCGGTCATATGTGGACAACATGAAGGTCCTTAAAGACTTTGTTTTGCTGTGAGTGGTTTCCTACTTAATCTGTTTTTGCATACATGTTTCTAGTAGACTACAGTTCATTTATGTTTTTTTTTCTTGTGCTGCATTGCTGTATGGGTTATTGTCCTTAGAATCCAATACATTGAATACATTTTCCAGTTATGGCTTTATATGTAGACATGTGGCACTGTCCATGCACAGGAGGATGGTATCAGCACTTTTGGGAAAATTCAAGTCTTGGGGAAGTATGAAAAACAAGGGGAAGAAACCCTGAATATGGGTGGGCTCCCCAAACAGTCCAGTGAGAACAGAGCATGTTCGATGGCCATAGAATGGAATGGTGGGTTATAATTATTCTGGTATAAATTACCTGGTTGAAGTTGGGCGTTTTTTCCCTTAATTTTCAGGCAGACTGTTGGTAACAAACTTAAGAATTATTTGGCACTCAGTAGTGCTACCTAGAGTCAACCTCTGTAAGTATTCCTTCTTTGTTGGCACATATTTTGTTTCTTTCTTTGGTTACACAGTACAGTTATACATTTATTTAAAATCTGCTTGGCTGACCGGAAGCTCTCCTTCTCTTACTAGCACATAACCCCTGATTACTCCTGGAGAAAGAGATTTACATCCCAATAGTAAGCAAACTAGTGTAAAATGAAGTTCCATTCATTGGAGCTGCTGGTATTCTTTCAAAGTAGATCACTTCAGGATTGGAGAGGAAGACTGTGCTTGTATAAGTGTAAAATTGTTGTGCAATGGATACAGGAAGCTTTAAAAATTAACCACTACAGTGGTGCCTCACTTGACGACGATAATCCGTTCCATTCAAATCGCTGTTAAGCAAAATCGTTGTTAGGTTAAAATAAAAAACCCATTGGAACGCATTGAAAACCGTTCAATGCAAAGCAAAAGCGTGCTGCTTATATACCGCCCCATAGTGCTTCAAGCACTCTCTGGGCGGTTTACAAGTTAATTATGCAGGCTACACATTGCTCCCCCCAAGCGAGCTAGGTACTCATTTTACCAACCTCAGAAGGATAGAAGGCTGAGTCAACCTTGAGCTGCTACCTGGGATTGAACCCCAGGTTGTGAGCACAGTTTTGGCTGCAGTACAGCAGTTTAACCACTGCGCCACTAGGCTCTTGCATTCCAGTGGGCTAAATACCTCATTGTGCAGTGAAGATCCTCCATAGGGCGGCCCTTTTCCGGTGCCTATATAGCGAGGAATCCATCCTAAAAACAGCAGGGAGCCATTTTGCACAGTGGGCGGCCATTTTGCGACCTGCTGATCAGCTGTTTGGAAATCATAGTAATGCAAAGAATCGGTTCCCGAAGCAGGGAACTGATCATCGTGAAGCAAATTTTCCCCATAGTAAGATCATTTTGCGATCACAATAGCGATCGCAAAAAAAACATTGTAAAGCGGATTTGTCGTTTAACGAGGTAATCATTAAACGAGGCACAACTGTATTGTCTAATATTGCACTACAAGTAGAACGTGGATGAAGGAGATTACTGGAGAGAAATACCAACACTGGTACAATTCTATTGTTAGTATTAGTACATGTGTTGTCTCTGGCTTGTTCTATGCCACATCATTCTTACGCACATTCTGTTTTTGGATAGTTTGTTTCATGCCAATGGCAAAGTAGCTAAAGCCTGAGGCAGCTGCCAACTCTGTTAGCAGGATGTGAAGAAGAGCAGGTGAGTGTAGGGGATGTTGTGTACATGAGCATATGGAAAGAAGGAGAATTATACATGTCAAGATCTGTGCATGATAAGGAACACCAACGGAATATGCTGGTTTTACTACAGCACAGCTTCAAAATAGCTCATACAATCTTACATGTATTTGCCCAAGCAATACAAAATAATGCATTAATAAATACTCTCCAAAATCCAGATGTTACAAGAACACAGTTAACTTTATGTCTAGCTGGAATTCTTAAAAATAAAAAATCTTGGAACTTGCTTACTTTGTTACTGTTGCTTGTTCGTTCTTAAAGAAACTGTGTTTCACATTCATAATATCACTTCACATAGTTTCTGATTTTTAATATCATTTCATCAAACCGATTCTGATTCAGTACATTAATATATTATTGTTACAATGTTGAGTTTTGACAGGTTTCAAATTAAACCTTTAACAGTATTGTATTCTCAAAGGCTTTAACAATATTGTTTTTCTTTTCACTGTTTATTAAGCTGTTGGCTACAATTGTTTTGTGAATACAACAACAAGAACTGCTAACTCGGTAAGTTTAAGAAATGGGTTTGGCTTAGAATTAGTAACTTCCTCGGCAGCTGCCCGCAAACTGTGGAACTCTTTTTTCCCTTAGAGATTTGTCCCCAGGTGACTTACTTAGCAGTAAAAGCCACTGAGTTCATTGGCACGTTCTTTTAGTAAGGATGTTATGGAATTATATTCCATAGCTTGACCATTTTTTGGACATAAAAGGCCTTTTTATTTAGCTTTTCTTCTGCTTCTGTTTAATTTTTACCTATTCCACATAAGTTTGATTAGGAATTTAAACAGCCGTGATTAGTATACCTCATCGAAATGGTAACATTGTTACACACACTGGCTGAAATCCTGCTGTTTAGCAAAGTAAATTACTAGATTAGGCCCATTGAACCCATGGGGATTTATTGGATGAACTCCTCTGTAATTTTCATTGATTCAAATGGGCCAGCTCTAGTTGCGACTTACATTAGTATAGTAAGGAGCAACCAGAGTAAGACTATTTGAATCAATGGAAGTTATGGAGGAGGTGACTCACTGTCCCCACTGATTCAGTGGGCCTACTCTGTAGCAATGTATTACGCTAAGCAACAGGATTTTAGCCGGTATGTATAAGTCTGGTTTGGGGGATATAATAATAATAATGATGATGCTGAGAATTTATAACTATTTATTCAGGGGATCTGGAAATTAGACTATTAATATTACAATTGCAATATTGGGGTTGCATTACTAATACGAATAATTTATTTTAAATTGCAATATAAAGATGTATGTAATTAATTTTTCTGTTACAGAAATTAAGAGGTCAGACGGAAGCACTTTACATATTAACCAAATTTAACAATACTCGTTTTGAATTCATATTTACAAACGTGGTTCCTGGAAGCCCCAGACTTTTCGCCTCAGTTATTGCTGTACACAGGTACTTGAGCGAATAAGAAAGCTAATGTCATAAAAATGGGAAGTGAGATTAAGGAAGTTAATTTAGTCACATATGGATGTACAATTTCAGAATAAAAACTTTAAGATCTACTTAAAAATTTATATAATTTGGTCTTGGCATGCAGATATATGCAGATACACAAGTCAGCCCAGCATCTCATGATCATGCCTTCTTACCCCCATCCTCCATCCAGTTTTCCTCAACTATCCTGGAAGCTCACAAGTCTTTTTAAATTTTTGCTGTTGTTAGTTTTTTTAATTTACAGACACACTTCTGTTTACTGAGGGAGTCCCTAGAGCAATGGTCCCCAACCTTGGACCTCCAGATGTTCTTGGACTTCAACTCTCAGAAATCGTGGCCAGCAGAAGTGGTGGTGAAGGCTTCTGGGAGCTGTAATCCAAGAACATCTGGAGGTCCAGGGTTGGGGGCCACTCCCCTAGAGTACATCGGCCAAAATCCTATTGCTTAGCTTAGTAAATCATTCTAGAATAGGCCCATTGAATCTGTGGTGAGTCAGCTCTTTCATAAATTCCATTAATCTAAATGGGCTTACTCTAACTGTGACTTATTATGTTAAAGTAAGTGAATGCATAGAATGTATGGAGAAGTTTATTCACTAAGTCCTCATTGATCCAATGGACATACGTCTAGTGTGATTTATTAGAGAAGCAGCAGGATTTTGCCGATAGGAAGCAGTGTTGTTATTTCAAGCGACTGCCGTTTTTGCTTCTAAACAGTTAAGCGACTGAATTTGCTGTTAGCAGAAAGAAATCAGATGTGTAACAGAATATTGCAGTATATTTCATAGAAGAATGTGCTGCAGTGGGATTCCTCCTAGGAATAAATATCCCAGTAGGAATTTCAGCCAGTCATACCATTTGCTAGCAGGTCATTCCATTAAACCCACACCGATCACCCACCCACTTTCCCATTTTTTCTTCAGCTGACCATCAGGGTTCGCTGCCTTTTATTATTATTATTGTTATTTAATAGTTTTTATAAGTTAGGTGTAGGAATAGGGGACGGGATTGAACAGGGGTTATAAATCAACATGAACATTTTACAGTATTCATTCTTATCTATTACATTGAAAGATGCATAAGTTTCCGGTGTAACTAATTTATAATACATATTCTATTTCTAAATTAATCTTAGGCTTTCAGATATCAAATATTAATTTACATTCTGTTTCTAAGCCAATCATAGAATTCTGATGTTTTATCCATTTCCGCCGTATCCAGGATTTTTGATATTAACTCCTCGAGATGGATTCTCTAGGTCTTTCCAATGTTTAGCAAAAAGAATTCTTGCCATGTTCACTGCCTATTAAGCCATTCGTAGTGACCCATTTTGACCAATGCTTTTTCAACATTTATTCTGAGAATTTTCATATGCACTCCCCAAGTCTGCTAGTTACTTTTCATTTTCTCAGAATAACTTAGTTTTCATTATTCGTATTATTCAAAGAGAAACATGGAACTTTTCTTAAATATTTTCAAATAAAATGTTATAAAAATGAAAAATATTAACACTGTATGTATGATTATTCCTAGAGCTTATGAAACATCAAAAATGTACCGAGAGCTTAAATTGAGATGTGCATTAATTCAGAACAAGCAACTGAGATTGCTACCAAAGGAACAAGTATATGACAAAATAAATGGCGTCTGGAATTTATCAAGTGATCAGGTAGAATGCAGCATAAGGACATCCTTATATAAAATGATATTGAGAATATAATTGCTCTTTTTTTTACCAGACATGGTAAAGAAATATTACAGTAATCTAAAAAGCTGATTATTTTGTTCAGTAAAATATCTTTAGCTCAGTATTTTATTTTATTTATTATTTGAAACATGAAACCAGCGTCAGCAGTTAAAAAGGTGGTTGGCATCCTCTTGATGAGGTCTGCCAGTGGATACTCAATAGCCAAGAGTGGCAGATTGCCACTAATTAAAGACTTCCTTTTTTGAGGTGCTTGTAACTTCATTTCTTGTGCTCGTTGCATGTATCCCAAAATGGGGAAAAGGAACTTTTAGTGGCAATCTGCCACTCCCAGTGGCATAATTTCTGCTGTGCAGGTGAACCTCTGCAGAAAGATGCTGGTCATTTAAAACAGTGAATGCTTGTGAGATAAGTGAACACAACAATATTGTTCACAAACATGCAGTATGAAGGCATAGTTGGAATAAAAGATGTGTCTTTAAAAAGGCCATGTGGAGCAGTTTCTGCACTGGGATCATTATTTTTATTTATTTATTTATTTATTTGATTTTTACCCCGCCCCATTAGAAGTGTTAGAAGAAAGATTAAAATAACTTGCTGTAGACCATAAATCCTTTTTAAAAAAACTGTAGTGGGAGGGCCATTAGAGCAATATAATTATGAGACAGTGGATGAAATCCTGTTGTGCAATTATACAAAAAGTGTAACTATTAGCAAATTGCCACAAGTTAAGATCTCTAGCCTTTATCTCTTGCATACTGATTTGTGCAACCCACTGTGCCACAGATAATGCCTATGGAAATTTCTTCACCATTAAAAGTTACACCTTTTGCATAATCGCCTAACAGGATTGTGGCCAGTACGTATTATTATGTACAAATTTACACTGTAAACACAGATATGTTATCTGTGTGTCAGATCTGTGAACAGAGGAGAGATTTTCCTCAGTACAACAGATGTTTCTTAAATTGTTACATTTTCTTTTGAAATCTAAAAAATGGCAGGGGGTGTTATTCTGAAGAAGAAAGAGCAGTCAAGTGTTATCATCTTTGAGTGGATGTGTGTGGTGCACTAATTTTATTTCACTAAGCATGACTTGCAGTGTCAGGTGGAAATATTATGGCCCTGTTGCTGGGCCACATTAAGCTTGTGAACTTTGATTGCTCAGGTTCTGCTCATAAGTTGTACACTCATCGAGGAGTCTGTTTTTACACAAAGTTTATTTTTAGACAGTTGCATTAATAGTGTCATGTTGTGCCATTAAATTATCAAGTAAAGGCACTCCGACGAGGTATTGGAAGGCATTTTAAAACTCTTACACAATTAATCAGATTGTATTGTAGGAGTGGCAGACATTTGGAGCTGTAATTTTTCTGTTTTCATCCAGCTAATTCTTAAATACCATATTACTTAACATTTAACTTTTCATCCCCATATTCGTGTAAGTAGCAGAAAAGCAGGGTTTGGAGGTTCAAGTGCAGTTGTGTCGTATTGGTTTGCTTTCATAGGGTTGGATCCTGAGAACTGTGAGCAGTAGGAAGTGTGTGAAGGTGGACCTCCCTGCTCCCCTAAAAGCTACACTGTGGGGCTGGGGCTCTCCTCCAAGGCGGCATGGAGAGGAATGGAATTGGATGAGATTCAGGTGGAGGGGAGAGTGAAGCAGAAGTAGGCAGAGGTGTTTTATGCAAAAAAAGCTGTACTTGCACCAGATCCACAGCCTAATATTAAGCAGCCTTCTGTCTTTCATGCCAACCCATTCTAGAGGGAGCTTTAATCCTGATGAGCAGTTTTAGGTGGTCTTTAATAGATTTTAAAAAAAACTGGGGGGGGATGTTGACAACAGAGTAGTCAAATTATTATGGGGTGTCTGGATTTACACTGATTAACATCTGGCTCACAACATACCTGATGTGATAATTGTTGAAAGGAAACAGGTGTGGGAAGTGAATGTGGTGATAGCTGGGGATGCTGGACTCAAAGAGAAGGAATTTGAAAAGCTTGCCCAATACATGGACTTATAAATTCAGACTGTGCAATCATGGCAAAAGAAAACTACAATTGTTCCAGTTGTAACTGGTGCTTTAAAAAACCTAGAAAACCTCCTGTCTATTCTAGATGCAAATAAGATCATGGCGCACCAGCTTCAGAAGGCTGTCTCACTTGGAACAGCACATGTTTTAAGGAAATACCTATGAATATCCTAGGCTGTTATAAATGGTCCAGTATTCAAGGAACTAAATCCAGCCAACATTTGGTGGGCTTTGTATAATAGAAGTAATAATGATGTGCTGTCAAGTCAGTTCTTGTTTATGACCCTTTCCAGGGTTTCCTAAGTACTTGTGTAAGTTATGCAGAAGTCCTTTCATCAGGTGGATCTGAGACTGTGCAGCTTGCCTGAGGCTACATAGGCTGGCTCTTCTACAAGGCACAGTGGGGAATGGAACTCACAACTTATGGCCCCACAGCCAGCTGTGTACCTAACTCACTTTGCTCTGATCCAGAAGGGAAAAGCCTCTTTAAGTATTTACTTTTGTTATGGTTCTCAGGATCCAGCCTTTGTCCATTTTTCACATCAAACAGAATGAAGTACTTATTAGTATATTATTTCTTAAAGCAAACACACACGCAAAAGCAATTTTGCAGAGCAGGAAAATAAAAAAAATATACTGCTGCTTTCTCTTTGGTTTGTACGCCTGAGATGGTCTAAATTTAACTTGCATGCCATTATGTTTGAATACCGCATTATTTTGAGAGCCCTGGAGAGTTTCCTATACACTACACAGGTTCAGCCCACTTTATGTAGCAACAGGGTTTTCTCAGTTTCTTATTTTAATAGCTATTTGAATATTCCCTTTTCTAGATAAAATGTGGTCTTTTGTTTATTGAATGAATTAGGGCCACCATGTACTGATACTGAACCACGATTAATTGTAATTTCTTTCTTTTGTAGGGAAACCTCGGTACCTTTTTTGTTACAAATGTTAGAGTAGTTTGGCATGCTAATATGAACGACAGCTTTAACGTCAGCATGCCATATCTACAAATTGTAAGTAGCATACTTACAGTTTCCAAAAAAACCTGTAAAAACATTTGTATATAATTTTGTGAACTTGGTAGTATTAACAGACAAGCTATGGAAGGTGGTGTAATCACTAGAGCCTCAAGACACTTGGGTTGAAATCCCTACCTGACTGTGACTTTCATGCGATGACCTTGGGCCAGGCATGTATTCTCAGCCTGGCCTACCTCAAAGGGGCTAGCTGTTTAAGATATTGACAATATGAGCATCATTTTAAAAACAATTCAGTGCTAGACTTTTGGGGAGAGGGGAAGGTCATTGGAAGCATAGAATAAGTATTCATTTCAGCCTTTCCTTCCCAGTCATGATTTCAGCATAGGAAGCTATTTTTCCCTAATGCTAATTCTTGTGTTGGACAAGCTAGGCTTCCTGGAATGTTGTAGCACTTGTGATCACGCGCAGTCTACTCTGTGCTCTGTATTTGTTTATTTTTAAAGGCTGTACAATTAGGCCCTCAGATCTTCATACAGGTGCATGAGTGTAACACGTGTGTAAGGCAGGAGGGTAGTTTCTTCTCTAGATTGCAACTGGAGATTTGATATTAAGTGGCAATGACTTACCTATGGCCATTCCCCAAGTAGCATCTGAATGGTAAGAATCTCGGGGCCTTGGCTCTAAATCGCATTCTTAATCACCGTGTCATACCAGTGGCTTAAATGTATGGCCAGTTTTCTTGGTTTCTCTGGTAATCACTTATTCTGCCACTATACTAAGCAAAGGTATTATAGTTGGTTTTGATCATGGGCATATGGACAGTGAATTCTGAACAAAGCTCATGAAATGTAACTTGTCCACATTCTTTTGGATGCTTCTGGTAGTCATTTCCACTAAAAAAAGCAATAGTTCCTTCATTATAAACTTCTGGAAATAAAATAATTCAGAGAGTCAGTGGCCAGAATCCTGTTACTTATGTACGCCAGCCTAAGTGTAGCAGTGTAAACTGCAGCACTGGATGGCTGCTGATTAAGAAGTCAACATTTGTATTCCTTGTTCCATGACAACTCCTACAAGTGGCTCTCAGTGAGGAATACAACTGCTGACTCCTTAAGCAGTAGTGCTACAATCAATCCTGTTGCATTTACACCAGGGTACGTAAGGACTAGTTCCAGTCATTTTGACAAGTTTCGTTAGTGACGTTAAAAAATTGTGTTTCAAGAAAAAACATTAAAAAGTAATAATTCTATTTTCACTTTTCAACCAGCGCTCTGTGAAGATTAGAGACTCAAAATTTGGCTTGGCCCTTGTCATTGAAAGCTCTCAAGCGGTAAGAAACTCTTGCAGCATTCTTTACTTCATTCAGTTTTCATTGAATTGAAAGCCATTGAAGCCCCATCCATTTTTCTTAACTGTCTTCAGTCAAGCACCTGCATTTTGTGATCATAGCTCTGTTAATTAGAATGTCACCATTGAATGCTGTTTGCAGATAGGACAGCTGGGTTATGAGTGTACAGAATAATGATCATGATAAATGAGCACCAGGTGATTAATCAAATCTGTGAATGAGACACCAGCGTGTTAGCTTGGTCACTTGCTATTTTTGAAGCTGATGTTGCTGTGAAAGCTTAAGCTACAGTCATGAAATGATTTGCCCCTTAGCAGTTCTTCGAGTAGAACTGTTTGTGAATAAACTACTTTGGAAATTTGTGTGTCATTGATAATGACTTTTACTAAGATGTCATGAACTTGAAACTAGTATTTATTTATGGAGCTTTTAGACTGCCCGACTTAGTGAGATACTACTTTGGGTGGTTTACATAATTAAGTAGAACATATAAATTAAAATAGCAAAAGAAGGAGTACATAATACCAAGCTTTGGGCTTGGGATTATTCCATTAGCTGTCTAGCTGTCTTAAAAATTGTAATTCACAAAAATATGTAACATGCACACGGTATATAGGACTACAGCTATTTTTCAGCATTTCTGAAAAATGCTTGAGCAGTCAAAGTATGTGCAAGGTCAGTCGTGCAGCAGTTTATCCCTCACTGCTTGCTATCCATTGTACGAGGAGGTACATAACTGTGTCTCAGACCAAAGGATGCTGAGGAGCACAACCACTGTCCAGCAGTGTAGGTAGCCTCGATTGTGCAATTGCCTACTTAGAATGGAACTGTCACGATTCCACGTGGCCCTTGCTTGTTTCACCAAACTAAGAGCTCATGTTATGTGTCTTTCCGTTGCCACCAGTTGATTACATCAACGTTGTTTAATATTAGTAATAGAGGTCCAGGCAATGTGTCATTTTCAAAAGAAACAAAAAGAAATTGTTTATTGTTACAGCTGTTGACAGGACAAACAATGTTGTTAACTATCAAATAACCATCCTCCTTTATCCACTCTCAACCACCACTCTCCTGCCCGAACTCCCAATACCACACCAAACTCTTCAACTCTCTCAAGCTCCCTATCTCAACTCTTCCTCCTGCTGAGTCTGTTATATCTCATGACTCCACCCCTCCAGCACTCCCATTGGCCTATGCAGATAGCATGTGAATATTTGTGTTCTGGGTGGACGCCACAGGAACCAATGGGATTCGCTCCACAATATCTGTATGGATTGCATAGAGAAGCGCAGTTTTAAATTCCTACTGGTTTATCTTCCTACTGTCACTATCTGTGACATGTTGGTGAAGTGGTGCAACATTTTATGTCTGTGAAGAAGGTATACTGGTCGGCTAAAATAAATGTTATGCTAATTACCCTGTTTGGTTAATGTTTATGGGGGAAAACCATAAACATGGGATCATCTGACCATTGAAGACATGCTGCCTTTTTTAATTTTACGGCTTGGCTGGGTTATGTCCAGGAGTCTGCATACTAATGGTTGAGAAAAGCCTCCTGAGGCCCATGCCTTCCTTAGCACGCTCTTAGGTCTCTCACTCCCAGATGCTCAAGGAAAGAAAAACACACACATGAAGGTTGGCTGTTGCTCTTAAGGACAAACCAACCCTGCACAGAACTTAAAGTAGCCCAAAATACTTCAAGATCTCCGAGCACCCTCAACCATTGGAAAAAGGTACTTTCAACCCCTCCTCACAGCTGTCTGAATAAACCACAGGATGAATAAAAAATATGTTTTATTAAAAAAGGAAAAATGACAAAGCATAAGACAAAAAGGTCCATTAACTGAGGGGTGATTACAAAAAAAATCATTTGACAGCATAAGCAGATCTTACAGAGCTCAAGGCCTATAAGCAGATCTTACAGAGTCAAGGCCTGATGAAGCGGTCCCCACAGAAAATAAAGAAAAGCTGACTTTCTAAGCTATACTTACAGGCATGTGCAGAGTTCTTCCTAGCAAGTAGCTAGGAAGCTTGCTGAGTCCTGGTGATGACCCAAGAAGGAGGGTGAAAATAAGCTAACTAACCATCCTCCTTAGATCCCATCAGCCTGCAGTTCACTGTTGTAAAGATCCACCAATCAGTAGGCAGCTTTTAATTGGCCTCAGATTATACCAGCCAAGACCAATTAACCACATTCCGGGTGCAACTGCCACTCATCAACAGAATGCCATTCCCCACCCATACCAAGGTCAGGACATTCCCTCCAGCTTGCTTATCTCAGGATAGCGCACCATTGTTACACTTCCCCCAATGCCTAGGCTGCTCAGCAAGAGCATTTTACAGATTTTATCAACTTGATGCTAACCTTTTGGGCCCTTTGTAGATGTTGCTAACTTCATAAGCCATAATTCCCTCACAGTATTGGGCATGTTTAATTTTAGTGTATTGCTCTCTTGCAGACTGGAGGTTATGTGCTTGGATTTAAGATTGACCCAGTTGAGAAATTAGAGGAAACGGCGAAAGAAATAAATTCTTTGCACAAAGTGTTTTCAATGAATCCTATATTTGGAGTGGATTATGAAATGGAAGAAAAGGTAGTCTTGTTCAAAAGCGTGCTTCTGTTGAAAATTAAATTCGGTCTTCTACTACATACATACAAACCTTTATTGGCATTAAAAGTACAGAGTGCTTTAGACAAGTGGACAAAGTGTGAGGAATAATAAAACCATGACCAATTTAAAATTAGGAAAGGAGGAGCAACCGTGGGCTATACCTGGGAGATAGCCTCTCTGATTTGAATCGCAGTTTGGAAAAAAAAAAGCAACGTAGGTGATGACGTGATTAGTTGTCCCCTGGACTAAAAAGCGGATGACATGATTAGTTGCCCCCTGGACTAAAAAGCGAACCTTGGCATTATCAGAGCGACCTCGATAGCCGGAGAGCAGTGGATCTAAAAATCTTGCTCGGAAGCTATTATAAAAGGGGCAATCCAAAAGAACATGGGAAACTGTTTCAATGGCATATTGGCTGCAGGGGCATCGTCTCAGATTATAAGGGACTCTACAGTATTTGTCAAATAAAATAGCCAAGGGTAGTACATTAAATCTTGCCAGCATGAATGCTCTTCTTTGGTAAGGATTGGTTAAAAGGGAGAAATAGGGAGCTAAAAGCCCTGGATGGGTCTTCTATTTAAACTGATATCAGCACCTGTTAAGATACTTTTCTTTCATTGGTTAATTTTCAGCCTAAGCAGCTAGAAGACCTGACAGTGGAACAAGTACAGGATGATGTTGAAATAGAAGCAGATGAACAGACGGATGCTTTTGTGGTAAGTTTCTGCTGAAAACAGAACAGATGACTGTCTTTTTAAACTGAGATCCTACCTCTGTTTGAATCTACCTGTCTTTTATAATCATTTATGAAAATGCTTAGGCTGTTATTTCTGTTTTTGTATTACAGGCTTATTTTGCTGATGGAAACAAGGTAAGAATGTGTTTATTTTGAAATAGTTTAATACGATATTGTTTTCTAGTTGACCATGTTAACCTTTGTTTGCTTACATTTTCTCTCTTTTTGCATTTCCTGAAAAAGCAACAAGACCGTGAACCTGTTTTTTCGGAAGAGTTAGGACTTGCAATAGAGAAACTGAAAGATGGGTTCACACTGCAAGGACTCTGGGAAGTTATGGGATGACATTGGTCTAAATAATATTTAATAGGTAAATAAAAATGTTTAATATAAAAAAAACTATGCCTGTATGCTTTTTAATCAAGATGCTACAGTTACCTGTGTATGAAGATTTCATGAAGGAAGAGATAATGTAAAGTGTATAGTTTTCATCTTATGATAAGATTTTATATTTTAAAGATATATTTATGTTCTGTAATGTATTTGTATATAGTGCCATCAGTGCTCACATCATAAATTATTTGCTTATTCACAATGTATCTATAGATAACATATGACTGTAAATAAAAGTGTTATTTGAGAAATAAAATGAGAAAAGATGTGTTTTTTCTGGTTAATTGCTATCATTTTGGCACCTATGATGTTTTCCAAAGTATTTTAAAACTACGACTTACTGCTAAAATCCTTTTGCTTTGTGTAGTAAGTCGCAGCTAAAGGTGAGGGTTGTTCTACTGCTCATTAAGTCTTTTTCATTCATTCACTCATTCATTTATACCCGGCCTATCTAGTGCCAAGGCACTACTTGTTCTTAGCTTATTCCACTGGTATACTGTATACTCCTTTACTCATGATTCATACTAGGACATGACATTCACCTGTTTGCTGATTTTCAGATGTGAAAAGTTATGCCTTCATAAATTTTACTGTTTCATGAATTTTGACCTCAGTCTCATAATTTTTTATATACCCGTATTTTTCGCTCCATAAGATGCACCTTAAATTTTGACCTCAGTCTCATAACTTTCTATATATCTAGTACTAATTTTTCTGATCCCTTTTACTTCCTAAGTACTACTTTCCATGGATTTGAGGCTCACAGGCTCTGTAACTAGTGATTCCACTTTGCCAGTAGCAGCAAAGCACTGTAACTTGTGTCCAGTAAATGTGATCACCCCCCTTTTTTGTGGGAAAAAAGTGCGTCTTATGGTGCGAAAAATACGGTATCTAGTACTTATTTTTCTGATCCCTTTTACTTCCTAAGTTCCACTTTCCACGGATTTGAGGCTCACAGGCTGTGTAACTAGTGATTCCGCTTTGCCAGTAGCAGCAAACCACTGTAACTTGTGTCCAGTAAATGTGATCTTAGAACAGCAGAGCTGGAATGGACCCTAGGGGATCACTGAGTCCAGCCATTGTCAGGGAGGCCCATACTTATTTTTCTGATCCCTTTTACTTCCTAAGTTCCACTTTCCACGGATTTGAGGCTCACAGGCTGTGTAACTAGTGATTCCGCTTTGCCAGTAGCAGCAAACCACTGTAACTTGTGTCCAGTAAATGTGATCTTAGAACAGCAGAGCTGGAATGGACCCTAGGGGATCACTGAGTCCAGCCATTGTCAGGGAGGCCCAGCGCGTGCGGAATCAAATTCCCAACCTCTGATTCTGTAGCCAGAGGCCTAAACCACTGAGCTATCTAAGAAAATAGAGTTCATATACCTTTAGTAGTAGGGTAGGAAATTTAGATCTTAGAACTGCAGAGCTGGAAGGGACCCTAGAGATCACTGAGTCCACCATTGTCAGGGAGGCCCAGCGCGTGCGGAATCGAATTCCCAACCTCTGATTCTGTAGCCAGAGGCCTAAACCACTGAGCTATCTAAGAAAATAGAGTTCATATACCTTTAGTAGTAGGGTAGGAAATTTAGATCTTAGAACTGCAGAGCTGGAAGAGACCCTATGGCTAACTAATGTTTATGCACATTCCCATTCCTTAACTGCCTTGTCTTCTGTGTCTCTTCATTCCAAAACCACCATCCTACCAATATTAACTTGGAAATAAGTTGGTTTTCAGTATACTCTTTTTCCAACCTGGTGTGCTAAATGACCTGGTTGTAGAATTGCTCAGAAATACCAATCTGCTGTTACCATGTGTGCACCGGGTGTTAAGAATGTGCAAGTTTAGAATTCCCTCTTGCACAAGAGGATACATCTGACTCTGAGCTACTACATGTTGTGAACAAGCTGCAAGATGTTTGGACCCCGTGGCTTTTCTCTTCTCATTATGCTAGAGAATTCTAAAATCTAGCATTTGAAATAAATTTTAACTTTCAGTAGATTTTCAGTTAACTTCAATGTGATACTTTTTAATCATAACTATGTGCTGTTAAATCAATTCTGACTTTTCTAGGTACAGACTGCTCAAAAGTGGTTTACCATCCCCTTCTTCTGTTAGGTTCTCTGGGACTGTGGAGGTTGACCAAGGCTGGGTTTTCTCTTGAGAGGCAAAACAGAATAAATCTACCAATCTCTGGCTCTGCAACCAGATATCTACTACCATCCCCTTCTTCTGTTGGGTTCTCTGTGGGACTGTGTAGGTTGACCAAGGCTGGGTTTTCCCTTGAGAGGCAAAACAGAATAAATCTCCCAGTCTCTGGCTCTGCAACCAGATATCTAAACCACTAAACTGTTGCCTTTAAACCTTTTTTTCCTTAAAATTCATTTTAAGTCTTGGTATGAATCTTTTGGAGACGTAAAGCATTCAGCTAGACAAGACCTGCTACATTAAGTGTTTTGTGATGACAATATAGAATACAAAGATGTGTAGTTTTAATATTTATGATCTTAACCTGCTGTCACTGAAGCATTTGAAGTACTAATCCAGTTCACTTTCCAATTCAGCTTTGGTTTTATGGAAATTGGTTACTGAAAGAATAGAAATAAAAGTATTATAAAACACATTAATTGCATTCAGTGGACCAGCAGTATTGCATACAGAATTAAATGTCTTGTACTGTCTGAGTGAGGCAGCTGCTACGTTTTCTAGTGAGAAAAGACCTTGTGTATCAGCTCTATAAATGGAAAAATGTCAAATGTCCTGCCTGCCCAGCTGTTACTTTAACAGCTGATCTTTGAGGTATAGGTGGAAAAGGCAGATTAGAATTAGTTATTGGCTATGTACTGTAATTTAGGGACCGCCTAATATGCTTGCAGAAGGAATGCATTTTTATTTTACTCCCTACAAAACTTCTTTACTATTCCTGTTCAGTTTCAGTTCTTAGATGCAATAAAACAGATGCAGCCTGGCTGAGTATTTATATTTAGCTTACATCTTTTGCCCATGTGAATCAGTGAACCATATTGAAATTTCTGGAATCAATCTTCATTTGTTTGTTTGTTTTGATGGTTGTGTACACAAAATCCCTTTTCTTCTCTTCCCTACTATTGAACACATACCCTTACATTTGTATATTAGATCACTGGATATTTTTCTTGTGTGTAATGGGTGACTGTGGAACTGACAAAAATAACTTTTTAGGTGTATGAAGCAGACATTAAATATGGATTTGTTTTTGTCGGTGTATAAACCAGCCCGGTTTCTCTGAAACAATAAGTCACCTTTTAAATGGCTTTCAGTGACTCTTGTGAATGGCGATCATGCTTTCACCTGCTGACTTCCATCTTTTCAGATCATGCCAAAGGGTATTAAGTAACATGTCCTGTTTCATAGCAACTACCTTTGGACCTAAATCTGTCTCCTTGCTAACCCAGGGTGCTAACTATGTTCTACAAGTAATCTCGATGATTCACTGTGCGTAACTGAGCAAAACTGATTCCCTAGTGACTAAAACAGTTGCTTCTTTCAACCCATGACAGCTGCAAGCTCCACTCTTCTTTCCACACCATCAATCCTAAATTCCAGCTTGTGAAAGTCTGTATCTATATTTAGCAGGCAAGATTAAATTACAGAGACTTCAAGTGAGGCGAAGCACGTTGATCTTCCTTTTTCAGCTGGACTTACAAGGTACTAACAAGAGGACTTTCTTCCTCAGCCACTGACCTGAGTCGTCTTCACGATGAATTCCCAAAGAGAACTTACCGAAGAACTTCGACTTTATCAATCCACTCTTCTTCAGGATGGCCTCCGGGAGCTGTTGGAAGAGAAGAAGTTTGTCGATTGCTCCCTTAAAGCTGGGGATAAAACTCTTCCCTGTCACAGACTGATTTTGTCAGCTTGTAGTCCTTATTTCCGTGAGTACTTCTTATCTGAGGAGAGTGAGGAGAAAAAGAAAGAAGTAGTCCTAGATAACGTTGATCCTGTCATCCTTGATATGATTGTTAAGTACCTATATTCTGCAAGCATTGACTTAAATGATTCTAACGTTCAAGATATTTTTGCCCTGGCAAGCCGTTTTCAGATTCCTTCTGTTTTCACGGTATGTGTTTCATATCTTCAGAAGAGGCTCGCTGTCGGCAACGCCTTGGCCATCCTTAGATTGGGTATCCTCCTTGACTGCCCTCGACTAGCGCTGTCTGCCCGCGATTTTGTGTCAGACCACTTTGTGAAGATTTGCAAAGAAGAGGACTTCTTGCAGCTTGCCCCCCATGAACTCATCTCGGTTATCTCACCAGATAGCTTGAACGTCGAAAAGGAAGAAGTGGTTTTTGAGGCAGTAATGAGATGGGTCAAGAAAGATAAAGAAAACCGTACAAAGACTCTTGGAGACGTGTTTGACTGTATCCGCTTCCGGCTGATGGATGAGAAGTATTTCAAGGAGCATGTGGAAAAAGAGGATACCCTCAAAAGCAATCCAGATATTTCCAAAAAGATCAAGGTTATTAAAGATGCCTTTGCTGGGAAGTTGCCCGAACCCGCCAAAAGTGCAGGAAAGTCAGCCAAAGGAGAGGTCAATGGAGATGTAGGGGAGGAAGATTTACTTCCTGGTTATCTAAATGATATTCCAAGACATGGAATGTTTGTCAAAGACTTCATTCTTCTAGTCAATGATACTGCTTCTGTGGCTTATGATCCTACGGAGAATGAATGCTATCTGGTCGCATTGTCAGAACAGATTCCTAGAAATCATTCCAGCATAGTCAATAAACAAAAGCAGATCTATGTAGTGGGAGGACTGTATGTTGACGAGGAGAACAAAGAACAGCCTTTCCAGTCATACTTTTTCCAGGTATAAATCTCACTTCTTCTTCTTCTTCTTCTTGTTTTGTTACTGCAAAAGGATAAGACTAAATGGCCTGTTGGGATTCCACCACTAATCAATGAGATTTCAGGTGTGTGTAGGCCATGTGCCTGGCATGTATCCAGCGCCTCACCAGTTTTTCCAGCAACTTAAGCGATTCCTCTTGTGCACATGTAAAATCCCAATAGGATTTGGGCCCATAAGTTGCTCATGTACCACTTCTTAATGGATGTTTCGAAGGTAAAAAGTTTGGTTCAGGCCCCTCAGGTTTCTAGTAATTATATGTCCTTTACTATCCTCTTTCAGCTTTGTATTCAGACAACCAAAGACAATTGTTTCCATAATTTCACCATGAATCCCATAACTTCACCATTATATGCACTGTGTACTATTGTTCTAACCTAACTAATTTCCATCATGTCCTCCCTTTTGTACATTTCCAAATGGCTCCCAGGAACATTGTGTTGGCCTTTGGAATGTACAAGTTCATGGAAGTTCCCTTGTATTGGTTTTGTGACAGAAAATGTGGCACTGTGTGACATGTTGGCATAAAAAGCAATTAAGACCTTTGTCTTAGAACCCATACATAGCAGCTGGCCATTGCCTTGTCCAGTAAGCACATTTACTCTCCAAAAGCTGACTGGCATGCAGTTTGTAGTTACTTAGGTCAATTCTTTCAGACCTTCTACTGAAAGTGAGGAGGGAGTGGAAGCAAAATTAATGATCACAACCCCGCTTGCCTACTTGTAGTTCAAATGAACACCTGAACAGGTTTCAAATTGTACATAGTTAAATGGTGGATTTTGCTGTCACAGGGTGTGTTGCTGCCAATTTAGACAGCTTTAAAGGGGGTTAGATGTAGCATGGCTTCTCTTAAGTTCTTAGGGTTTTTTTAATGCAACACTTTATTCTTTTATATCTTCATTCATGTTCTGTTTCACAGTTATATTTTTCCTGGTACAGTTTGACATCACATTCCATCTTTGATGAGGTCAATGTCTCTGCAAAACACACACATACACACAGCTTGTTCTCTTGCTAAGGTTTCCTCATTCATTCATTTCAGCAGAGGAAGTAGGTACACATGGACAGTCTTTGGTCTTGGCAGACAGAATTGCTCTGTGTTCAGTCTGGACACACGTAGGCTCCTAGGTCAGCAAACACAAGTAACAATGAGTCTTGGTATCACACACACTCCCCTTCTTTCTCCCTTGGTGTTGCTATAATAAGATCAGAAGCTTCAATTTGCAGGCCAGTTAGAATTCCACATTACATCTAGATCTGGGAAATTCCGGTCAGTAGACAATAGATAACCAGTGATTTGTTAACAAGCTGAGATTGTAAATCAGGATTTGATTCTGGCTTATTTGAACAAACCAGTTTGAACTAAGCATAGTTCAACTGTAACATGAAACTTGTTAATTCAAATAAGAAGTGAACCCTGCTTTTTGACCCACAGAGGGGAAAACAGAGGCAATTGTATATTATCACCGTGGGGCAAGTCATTAAGAGTGAGATGTATTTTTTTAAGCATAGGAGAAAGGAAGAAACCCCTTTCTACCTAGAACTGATACATTTAGAGATGAGCACGAACTGCCAAACGTTCAGCTGAACAAATGTTCAGCACTTCCCAGCCCCACCTTCCCCAGCAGGTGCCCACTCAGAGGCAGCACCCCAGCTTCCTTGCCCTGCCTCCTCCGAGTGCTACCTCTGAGTGGGTGCCCACCAGAGGAGGCAGGGCAGGAAGCACCAAACACCTGTTTGGCTGAAGGGTGAACCAGCATGAACCACTGGTTTGGCAATTCATGCCCATCTCTAAATCCAACCTTGGTTGGACCCTATCTATACCAACTGGCTGCTTTTAACTAAAACATTAAACACAGGATATGTTGTTCACAGATGTCCCTTTCCTGCATGTAGAACCAGACCTTGAGGACTACATGCAGAAAGAGTGTTATGACTGGAGGAACATTCAGTAATCTAAATCCTCATGCGCCTTCTGAAAATCACAGTCTCTCCTCTCTTCCTTGAACACCTGAGGAGGGAGGAGATAATGTTTGAGCAATGTACTGCAAATGGCTTCCTTTGTTTAAGGTGACTGTCATTGTTTTAGAGAAGGACAACAAGATCAAAGAAGATTGCCAGAAAAGGAACATTATTTTCACAGACTGCAGACTGTTTTGCAAAAATGGAGATGTCATGCTTATATCAATCTGAAGCATTAGTGTCCAAAAACAATTTTACCACCGTGTGGAATTTGGAGATTTCCATGAGAACAAGGCCTAAACAGAGGAATCTTTAGAGGAAAATTAAACTGGAAGTAGCTAAGAAAGAATGTTTTGAACAGGAAAGAGCCACAAAGCGCAAAAACTCCATACAATTAAGAAGCGGCAATTTTGGATAATTACCAGGGTGTGGTATAGTACATTTCCAGAGATGTATTAGCAGTTACAAGCGTCATCCATCAGCTGAGGCAGACGGGGTTATCACCAAAATGTTGTTTGTGGGAGTTAATGGGATGGTACCAAATAAGTTAATTTCCAGGTTGCAACTCATGTTTAAAAAACAGTTGAATGATCAAGAACTGCTGTTTTTCTGATGCATATAACTTCTGAGGGGAGGGGATGTGCATCTTTTGCTGTTAACACTTCTTATTTTGAATTCTGGAAAAGTTGGATAACATCACTTACGAGTGGGCTGGCCTCCCTCCATTGCCATCAGCCCGATGCTTGTTTGGACTGGGAGAATCGGAGAACAAAATCTACGTCATTGCGGGCAAAGATCTCCAAACTGAGGAGTCTCTGGATTCGGTCTTATGTTATGACCCCACGTAAGCGGCTTCAACACTGTTATTGAGGCTTGTCATGTATTTCCTGATATACCAAGATGGATGATGGATGTCCTTTTCTCTTTCAGATTGGTCAAATGGAATGAGGTCAAAAAGCTCCCCCTTAAAGTGTATGGTCACGCTACAACTTCACATAATGGAGCTATATACTGTCTTGGAGGAAAGACTGATGATAAGTGAGTACCTGAGTCCAAGGGTGGGGTGGAGTGAGGTGGGAAATCATGGTAATAGGCTTGGGTGTTTTACTCACTAGTTAGAAATTTAATGCTAATTACAATACAGTGGTGAATTCGCTTAGCAATGACTTTTTCAGAGCGTTTTTATGCTCAGTTTAACTATGGTCCCTATGGGCAATTTTCACTTAGCGATGTTGGGACCATGCTTCGCATAACGATTAAATTTTTGGGTCCCCTGTTTTGCTTAACAATGGTTTAAACAGCTTCCTGTTTGCTGTTTTTTTAATGTTATAAAGTTTACTGTTTAAAATGTTTGAAATCATAAAGTGCACTTAATAAACCCTTTGTTAACCAAATTTGACTTTGTTCTCACTCTTTGTTAATTTGTTGTTGAATTTTTCCCCCCATTGAGATGCATTGAATTGGTTTCAATGCATTTCAGTTGGGGACTACGTTTTGCTTAGCGATGTTTCCTATGGCAATTTTCGCTTAAGGATGGCAATTCGTTCCTATTGGAACGGATTATCCGGTTTTCAATGCATTTCAATGGGAAACTGTGTTTCGCTTAGCAATGTTTTCACTTAGCGACGAATTTTTTGGAACCAATTAAAATAGTTAAGCGAGGCACCACTGTAATAGTTTGGTTAAGGTTGGAGCCATGGTAAACTGCAAATTAAGATAATGCTAGTAAGAGAATTTGTGGCAGTGAAGAAAGCAACTGGAATGGGAGACCCATGATCATGACTCAGATGTACTGTTGCAGCTGTACTGGGCCAAATATATAAGGTGGAAAGGTGGAAAATCTCAGCCCAATGACTTATCAGAGCCCAATTTTGGCTCACAACATTATTATTCTGATTAATATGGCTGCTTCCATCCACTGACCGCAGCTCCTGGATCCAAAGCATAATCGTTTCCATGTTTGTTAGCAACACGTTTTTATTTCAAGCCAGGCCTTTGAAGCTAAAGTGGAAGGTCTCTGAGTATGCTGAGAATTGGTAACATTCCCAGGAAGTTCTCAGAACATTAGAGCTTCGAAGTATTAAGATATTGTCCAAAATCCATCCATTGTTCTCCAGGTTAAGGACATGGGATTAACATTCCATCCATATATCCAGAGGTTATCTCGTGCTTCTATAATATATGAGGGCTAGATTACTATTTTTTGGGGCATGTTTGTGAAAGATTTTGTCGTTTAGATTGAAATGTTGCAAGATGTTCAAATGTCTTTGTTGCAATTGCTGGTTGGTGGTTTCTGAAAACTATTCGTTTTGTTTCTCTTTTGGCCACCACAGAAAATGCACTAACCGAGTGTTCATATACAATCCCAAGAGAGGAGACTGGCGTGATCTTCCCCCCATGAAAGTGGCTCGCTCTATGTTTGGAGTGGCCGTCCATAAAGGCAAAATTGTGGTTGCAGGTGGTGTTACAGAAGATGGCCTTTCAGCCTCTGTCGAAGCACTTGATCTGACCACTAACAAGTTAGTGTACTCCCCACTTTCTTTCTTTCTTTTCTGAACATAGCACAGTGCATGATAACCTACTTGACCTTCCTCAATGCTGCTTCATAGTTAAGAGGTTTTGAGGTCATGTTGATTTCACTGAAAGAGTGTTGATGGACTCAGTTGGGCTGGATCAGTTCCTTGATGCCTATTGACTGTGGATTTCTTCTAACATGGTTCATTGGCCCCTAAACTTTAATTTTTGGCACTTTCACATTTTCAAGTAATAGAATTTCAAAGAGAGCTTTTGTATAATTTTAAAGCATGTTGTTGTTTGCCTTATAACTTGCTTAAGATTCACTTGTAATTGATGCATGTTAAAAAGGATGTTGGTACTCAGTTACACATTTGTTTCTCTGTAGTGGATGGAGGATAGTCAGATGAGACATACATCCTTCTATGGTATTAACAGATTGTTTTGGTGGAGATGGGTAATCTTTGGTCTGTGTGCAAAAAAAATATGCATTGACTGACTCTCTCCATGGAAGAGAACTGGGAAAGCTGGTAGAAAGAAAGCTCCATATATTCACCAGGGTTCCCATGATCAGAGGTCTACTCAGGGGCACCTGATTGGTTGTTTCAGTCTGCCTCTCAGAGTGAATGGGGAGGAACAGCCCATCTTAAGATGTCCTCCAGAGAACTTCCAACACCTTGCAACAAGCACATGTTTGCTGCTATCAATCTTGACACTAGCACAGACCACCTGTATGGAAGAATAGGAGTCTGAATCTCTTGGGGCTGAAGGAGCATCTGGATATAGCCTCCCTTACTCTTTCACTAAACAGTTAGCTATTGCTACTGGGAACTGCGTGCAGCACCAAATATTGGGTGCACAAGTTCCAACACTGGGAACCACGTGCAGAATCATGAACATAATAACATCTGAGATACCAATGAATACAAATATCCCCATCCCAGCTGGACCATCCACTCAGATTCCTGGCACCGTGAAGGTCTCACTCTTCCCGCCAATGGTGCCAGGAGCTTCGCCGATTCCCTGCCTGGCTGGCCATTCAGCAGCCATGTGGGAAGAACGCGTCCTCCTGCCCCCTGCCTGGAGTTGCTCCTGGCGCCATTGATGGAAAGTGTGGGACCTTCATGGCGCTAGGATGTGTGAGTGGATGGTCTGGTCCTGGGGGCGGGACCCTCATTAGGTCCAGCTGGGATGGGGAAATTCATATTTGTTTACAAATATGAACAACCTCATCTCTAATTCTGATTCAACAGGAATCCATATACATTCCCCACATATTTCTATTTGCCTTCCCCCTCTGACATTCATCATATGTTCTTATGTATCTAATTCCCACTCTATGATAAGAAAACAATTCAGTGAGCAGGAGTTCTCCCTTCCTTCAGCCCCCATGACATCAGATTTGCTTTGGCACATCTCTCAGCCCTTTGGAGCATATTTTGGGGAAGAGTGGATGGGCTACAGAGGGGCGGAGGAATTGACACCAGCCTCTTGAGCATAAAACTCTCACAATGTGATATTCATTTTCACCTCATTCCAAGCCTGAGTTATGTTCACAGACGTAATACTTTGTGGAGCGAAAACAAGGTACAACCTCTTGTATTTTAGTATGTATTATTTTACCCACATTTTAAAACCTGACAGTGGTGTTTGGTGAATTACAGATGGGAAGTTTTTCCAGAATTTCCACAGGAGAGAAGCTCCATCAGTTTAGTGGCCCTGTCTGGCTCGTTGTACGCGATTGGTGGTTTTGCTATGGTTCAACTCGAATCAAAGGAATTTGCACCAAATGAAGTTAATGATATCTGGAAGTAAGTTGTTTTCACGTTACACTTTTTGCTGACACGGGACTAAAATTTTTAATATTAATCCTACACGAGGTTGCCTGCAATATAAAATGTCTAGCTTTTTTTGTACATTAACTGAATACAGATTTGACTTTTATTAACTATTTTCGTATTACTATCCCAACCCACATTTTGCCCCCTTTAGAATAGTTTTCTTTTGGGATTATTCTCATATTGTGACTGGATTAACGAAAAGCAGCAAAATATATAGATTCAGATGAGGGATAACCATTCAGAAGTAGGCCGTATGACTGCCTGAGTTGGAGTTCCAAGGCCTTTGCTCCACATGTGCTCTCCTGTTGAATTCTCAACCTGGAGTGGTCTGGACTGCAGAGGCAGGTCTTGGCCAGGACCTCGTAGACTGATGATGTTTGCACAGAAGGTTATGCCAGGTTAATATCAGAAATTCGAACTGCCCTTTGAAATACGTAATATGTTAGGAAAATAACTTGAACTGTGCCAGTAGTAGTAGTAGTTGAAACTGTCTCAGGAACAGAACATGTTTAGAGGAAGAACTAGAGGCAGGAACTACTGAACAGTTTGAGAGGCAGACCTTAGTGAACTGAGTCATTAAATCATGCGAGATGGATCTCATGGAGCCTTTCAGGACCCTCTCATGCATGCCCAAAATTAATTTTTTTAAAAATATTCTGCAGGTCACAAGGTTCCTTTGTGCCCTCAGGATGAGTGCAGTGTAATTTGATCTTGTTTAAATGCCCCCCCTCCAATCCATGGAACCCTCATATGTACTAGCAAAAAATTTTAAATTACAGTGTCTATATTTTTGGCCACTAGAGGGCTTAAGGGTGTGCTTCATGTTAAAAACACACTTTTGTAAGGAAAAAAAAAAAGATTGCAAAAGAAAAAAGTGTGATCCCAAGACCTCTGGAGATTACTCACTCTTGCTTTGAATCAATAAAATGCTGTAGAGAATAAAAGTTAGTACTATAAATTGTTTTTTATATGAGGGATCCTGCATTGGTCAATATAGAAGGGAGTCATGATATAAATCAATGGTTTCAAAACTGTTTCAAGAAATTTCCTGACCAAGAGGATGAGTGGTAATGGAAGAGAGAGCATGGTAAAAGGAAAAAAAACCCCAAAGACCATGCTTCACTAACAAGTATTCATAGTACAGTCTCTGGCTCCCTTTAGCAGCTGACTCTGGTAATACATGTGAAAATAGTTTTTTTCAGCTGGTTCTGGTAATATATGTAAAAATATTTTTTCTGGTTTTCTTTTAATATTTTCAGACCGTGGATAAGTGAATCAGTTGATACTAATCCCATGGATAAGTGAGTCCTACTGTATACAGTAAATTAATCAGATAGCCTCCCACTTTTCTTTTAATGGTCCTGCTCTTCAGTCTGTTTACTTGAATCTTTTGGAAGGAAGCTGTAAGAAAACTGGGATGAACCCAGTGACTGTAAACTTTGTGAGTGTTTCAAGCAGGTGTGGCTACTTTTAGGAGAGCAGAAAAGGTTTGAGGATATCTCCAAAACACAAATGCTTAGGCTATCGCAGCATATTACAGAAGATACTGCCCCACAAGGGCAGCCCTATCTTGAGCTCAACCCTTCCTTCTTCAGGAAGTGGCCTACCTGAGATATGTAATTCCACTTTATGTTAGTAATTTGCTTCCCACTTATCTCTGCTACCATAAACCAGAACACTGGAGCAGAAATTCCAAATTTCTTGGAGTATATGAACTATTAAATATGAAATATCCTTTTCTGAAGAAAGGGCTGAAAGGAACTCAGGAGAACACTGTCTTTCTTGAAGATCTACCATGGTTACCCATCTTTTATCTCTGCAGATACGATGATGAGAAGAAAGAATGGTGTGGTATGCTGAAAGAAATCCGCTATGCCTCTGGAGCCTCTTGTCTTTCCGCTGGCCTGAATCTGTTTAAGCTGTCAAAGCTGTAAATCAAAAGACTGACCCAAGATTTTCTATGGCCTCTACTTTCGTTGCTTAAACCTACCCTGTACAGAGTTTGACAGCTAATGTGATTGTTTGAACTATTAATGTAACTGTCTCAATTAACTTCTGTAGGTGTTCACTCCCCCATTTTTACTAACATTTTGAATTTGAAGTAAATTCTGTGTAATACTGAATAAAACTGAATTTGGTTAAACATTAGCCTGGAAAATTTAGCCCATGTTACTCTTACCTAGCATCTCATCCTATTTTCCTCCTTGAACCGCCAACCTACCACCCACAACTTTGAAAATTACTAAATTTCCATATGTTTGAAAATATTTAATAATACATGATAATTAATTGTCCATATAAAATTGCTTCAAGAGTGTACGTCCTTCCCATTCGAAGAGATCAGAGCTATGAAAATATTTTCGCCTTTAGGTATTCTATCCATGCATTCTTTGATGACAGTTCCATGGAATTCCATTCAAAATGAGGAATCTGAAATTAAATTAAGGCATCTAAAATTAGATACTGTTTCATATTTAAAACTGTTAATATTTCTTATTACAAAAATCGCTACATTAGGCAGGCAATGTGGTAGCTGTAGTGTTGGTTGGTGAGGCAAAATATGTGTGACAAAAAATCTCAGAAATAAAGGTAACTTAATAAAATTCCATAGCCACCATACCTGTACAACGTGGTAACCTAGAATCTCCAAATGTCGCTTTCTCATAACAGTTTTTCCCCTTGGATGAGTTGAATTTTTGCAAAAGTTTTCTGAATCAAGAAATTCAATGGCAATTCTAAATAAAACACAGAGCAAATAATTGGTTTACATGCATTCATACACTAGAAAGCCAAACATACTTATCTATTATGTTACAAGCAGTAACAAGAGCTATCAATTCCTGGTTAAGATAAGGACAAGAAACTCTTGAAAGCATGTATTTCTAACTTTTGCAGGGAGGAGAATGGAACATATCTAGAGGTCATCTGAAAAATATACATCAGTAACTGTGAGGGGAAAGCTGTGTTAGTCTATTTAAGGAAAAACAACCGATATGTTAAAGATTAACATATTTGGCAAAATATGTTGTGTCATGTATTTCAAGATGTAGATGATGGTCCACAAATAAGTCTGCTCATTTTAAGGTACCACAAGAATTTGATGGATTACAAGTTCACACTACAAATGGATTCAAGTATTTTGATCACAGGAACTCTGTCAGATGCATGCATGCAGCTTCCCAGCAAAGAACTGCTTTCAGATTTCCTTTCAGTGCAGAAAACCAATCCATGTTCATTCCTGTTCAGACAACGATAATCTCCATTGCCAAATCCAATCAACTGCACAGAAAATCCATGTGCTTTATCTGAATCTGTGTATGAAGCTCTGGAAACTGATGCATGTGTATAAATGTGCTACATGAATGAAAATGTAAAACTAACTGCTTTTTCAAAGAAAATAATTTAAATGAAAAACATACCAAAACAGCCTTTTTTTTAAAACCACAAAATCAACAAGGAAGTAATTGGTCACTTGCATAAGCAAGATGAAATCAAGGATAAAAGCTACTGGAGAGAAAGAGAGAAAGACAGACAGACTTTAGGACTTTCTGCATTAAAAATCATACAGCACCAATGAAAGAAGTCCTTTCTGAATAACCCATAGGAAACAAATGGAAGTAAAATATATTGTATTTGACCTCAATGAGAACATTACATATTCGAGAAGCAGAGTGGCAGTGTGGCACCATGACACGGTTATAATGACTATGTGATCTCTGAATGCCTGAGATCTTGGCAGTGAATAAGTCTTCTCAAATAAAGCCCTGGGGTGGGATGGGAAGATGAAAAAAATCAGTGGTTTGGGGAGATGAAAAACTCAGGGAGGTAAGATCATCTGTCCCCCTCAACAAACACTTCCATATTCTACTTCCAAATCAGCAACTCACATAAGTAAAAACTTAGTTTTGTGAAAATATGGCATAGTACTACTTTTCGATAGAATATCCATTTCTGTACTCACAACCCCTAATGGAAGCCAGAATATCTTGCCCATCTTGTAATTAAGACACTGGGCTGTCATAAAAAATTAGCTCTGAGATTTTATTTTCCCCAGTTAGATCCTTTCCACTAATACTACAGTAATTCACCAGGCCTTGCACAATCTAACTGATTTTGAACTGTTTGATTCAACATTCTTCAACACTGAAGGAGCTGTTTTCTAACATACAGTATATAGTATTTGGCTTTGAACTGAAGGTTTAACTATGGAAAAATAATATGTGATCCTGTGTCATGACATATGGAAAAACTGAACACGGAAGATTATTTAAAATGAGGTAAGAATATTTACTGACACTAGTTCAGAGTTAGCATTTACCACCTTTAAAACATATACTGTATTTTCCCGTTTATAAGATGCTAGTTTTTCCTGAAATCATTATACTAAAAATTGCGGGGCGTCTTTTGCACAGAAGTAAGCTGAGACAGCTGAGGAGAGAACAAAACGGCACATAGCTTGCCTCTGTAAACAGGCTTCCTTCAGTCATGAGCCTTATGGAACTGACGGCAGCTGATCCTGAACAAAGCAACTGGAACACACCTCGTTGGAGGTGGAGCCTGTAGGCTCAGATTCAACAGGGACTCAATATGTCTGACCGTTCTGAGCCCAGAGGCTGAATCCTCAAAGATAAGTTTTCTTAATTTTTGGGTTAGAAAAAGAGGGGGTCTTAAAAATGGGGGCATATTATAAATGGAAAAATACGGTAAGACAGCTGGGCAGGCTATAAATGTACTACCATGAAAAGCAGTGTAAAGCAATAGATAGAATGTTGGATTGTGATGTGAGAGACCTGGGTTCAAATCACTACTTGGCCAAGGAAACTGACTGCGGGTGGTAGTAAACTCTCCTTGAAAATCTCATACATTTGAAAACCCTATTAGGATTGACATAAATCAGAAGTGACTTGACTGTACTGTACATACCACCACCATCCTACCAAATGTGGTACGACAGTAATACTGCTAAACAGTTTTTAACTTGACTGCCATTACACTTCCCTCAGGTTCAACCTCAACTTGGCTCACTTTCGATGCTCTGGCTGCTGAAGCTAATGAAGGCCAGTCATTCGGAGGGACTGCTGACAACGTTCTCTACACTGAGACCTTCTCTGAGGACAAAATATGCAAGTAAACTCCTTCACAAAACTTTTCCTCATAAATCAGTCCCTTGCTATGGTCCTCACCAAGTGCAGCGTCTCACCCTGTGCTCACGAGTATTATCACCCTTATCATCACCCTTACTCTGGCTGCATTGCATTGGCTGCCCATCCGTTACCGCATCGACTTCAAAGTTTTAATGCTTACTTATAAAGCCCTAAACGGTTTAGGACCTCGATATTTGGCGGAACACCTACTCCCACCAAGCTCTACCTGGATCACCCGTGCAAGTCAGGAGGTGAGGCTGAGGGGCCTGATGCCCAGAGAGGCCCGGAAGGAAAAGACACAAAATCGGGCCTTCTCGGCAGTGGCTCCTCGCCTCTGGAACAATCTTCCTCCGGAGATTCGTGCGGCCCCTACGCTGGGTACCTTTAAAAGTCAAGTAAAAACATGGATGTTTATTCAGGCCTTCCCTCCAGTCAATATTTGATTCTCTCTTCTCATTTCACTTTAATTTATTTTTACTCTACTTTCTTGGTTTCCACATTTTCATTTGTAGATTTATGTAACTATGTGATTTTATTAATTGTTTGTATTATATTGGAAGCCGCTCAGAGTGGTCGCATAGACCAGATGGGCCGGATACAAATCAAATCAAATCAAATCAAATCAAATCAATCAATCAATTATGGGAGAGATGTCTCTCCCACTTCCATTTGATCCAACTCTTCTGAGAACAGAGCATCGAAGGTGAGCCGAGTTGAGGTTGAACCCAAGGGAAGTGTAATGGCAGTCAGTATCAAGTTGTTGACAGTAGTGGAATGGGAGTCAAAATGATGCCATGATCAAGAACAAAATAGGCAACAGAACTGAGACAGGAGCCATTTTGAAAGAGCAGAGCATGGCCCGGAAAAATCTTCAGAGGAGAACAAATACTGGTACATTGCAATATTGTTGTAGTGTTGACAAAGAGCATATCATTGTAATACTGTACTGTAGAATTAATGTAGAATTAAACATTGCAGACTACATACCAGATGGGCAAAGATGATTGAAGGATAAATCAAAACTTGGCCAAAGATATAACCACAGAACATAACAATCACATTATTAAAACCACGCAAAATGTCACAAATGAGGAACTTAACAGTGAAATAACTTTTCTCCTTACAAATCCAAAATCCCACTTCTGGACATTTTTATGTTACCTAAAATCCACTAAACCAATAACCCCATGGTGACCAACTGTGTCAGCTAATAACACAACAACTGAAAGGATTTCCCAATACACTGGCCAGTATCCTCTTGTGGAACTCCGCCAGTGCAGTGGGAGTGAAGACTTGGACAGCTTTGCCAGTGCAGTGGGAACAACCTTACTGGCAGTGGCAGATTGCTACCAGCTAAAGATGTTTTCAATTTCAGGTCCACACAGCTTCAGTTCTTAGAGCTCAAGTTGCACACACCCTAAAATTGAAAAAGTACTGTAACTCTTTAACGGGAAGTATGCTATGTTTGCAAAAAGAGTCATAAATGGAGACATTGTTATGCTCTTATTAGGCATTTGCCATTAAACCAGTCAGCAGCCACATCTGATGCTGTGGTTTGGGTAGTGCTCAATATGAAGGAGTGCTTTGTGCTTTTCTTAATCTTTGTGGAGATGGGTCATTTGAATGATTGGTTTTGAGGGTTTTCTCTGCAATTTTGGCATGTTGGCAATTCACATAATGTATTTTCCTGTAGCCCAAGGCAAAAATAGATGTGGTAAGCAAACACTGCTTTAAAGAGGGTGTCTGCTGATTTACATGTTTTAAAAGTATTAAGATCAAGAGTAATGAGAATTTAATCCATATGGCATGTAAAAGATAAATAGGAATATTAATACTGTATCAGTAATTAAAGGAAATGAACAGTTCGTTTTTTTAAAAAAATCTTGCACAGATAGTAGAGGAACTTTCTTTAAAACTGTAAGATAGATATTCTTTAAACATACTCGACATAAAGAGAGATTCATGTCAACAAAAATAAACACATATAATGCCAAACTGAAGCACAGGATACAGTGCATTCAGATTGGAAAATCTGATTCTCAAGCAGCACTTTGTCTATATTACAGTGGACCCTCTACTTACGGAATTAATCTATATTGGAATGATGGCTACAGGTCAAAAATTCTGTAGGTCGAGTCTCCATTGACCTACAATGCATTGAAAACCGATTAATCCATAACTGACCATTTTTGTTCCATTTTGGTTTTTTTCTGGTCTGTAGGTCGATTCTCTGGCTGCAAGTTGAACCTAAATTTTGCAGCCAGAGAAGTCTGTCACTCGAAAAGTCCGTAAGTCGAGCCGTCTGTAAGTCGAGGGTCCACTGCACACACTTTATAAAGCAACAAGGTAATATAAACATGGATGTGTAGGTCACATAGCTAGATACAGATATGATGATACACCAGTTTGAGTTATATAATCCTATAGCTGCAGAGTTGGAAGGGACCCTATGGATCATTGAGTTCAGCCCCTCCCAGTGGGGAACTGCACTGCACAGCCAGATGCCTAAGTCATAGGAACATAAGAAGAGCATGGCTGGATCAGGCCAAAGGCCCATCTAGTCCAGCTTCCTGTATCTCACAGTGGCCCCACCAGATGCCTCTGGGAGCACACGAGACAACTAGACACTTGTTTCCTGATATCCCTTCCCTGCATCTGGCATTTGGAGGTACTTTCCTTCTAAGCCTGGAGATTGTACATCCCCATCACGGCTTGTAACCTGTGATGGACTTTTCCTCCAGAAATCTGTCCAATTCTCCCTTTAAAGGCATCTAGGGCAGATGCCATCACCACATCCTGTGGCAAGGGGTTCCACAGACTAACAACACGCTGAGTAAAGAAATATTTTCTTTTGTCTGTTCTCACTCTCCCAACACTCAATTGGAGTGGATGTCCCCTGGTTCAGGTATTGCATAAGAGAGAAAAAAGCTTCCCTCTATCCACTTTATCCATACCCTGCATAATTTTATACATCTCAATCATCTCCCCCCTCAAGTGCCTTTTGTCTAAAGAGCCCCAAACGCTGTAGCATTTTCTCATAACAGAGGTGCCCTAGCCCAGTCATCATTTTAGTTGCTCTCTTCTGCACCCTTTCCAGTTCCGCTATATCTTTTTTGAGGTGCGGCAACCAGAACTGTACACAATACTCCAGGTGCGGCCTTACCAGAGCTTTGTACAATGGCATTACAGTGGACCCTTGAGACTTACGAAAGTCCCTACTTACGGAAATTTCAAGTTTTAGTTCGACTTGAGACCTTAGCTTCAACCTATGAAAGGCAGGGGGAAAGGGCGGGAAATTCAAAGCAGCTCCCTCTGCCCTCTTGTCTCCTGTCCCCGGTGTCCTCTGCCTCCTGTCCCTGCAGAGATGGGAGACAGAGGGCAGCAGGTGCAGCTTTGGAAGCCCGGGATTTTTTTTTCTTTGGCTGGAATGGAACAGATTAAATGGTTTTCAATGCATTCCTATGGGAAATGGAACCTCGACCTATGGAATTTTCGACCTGCAGCCACCGTTCCAATACGGATTAATTCCGTAAGTCGAGGGTCCACTGTATTATGTTGCCTGTTTTGTCTTCAATCCTCTTTGTAATGATACGTAGCATGGAATTGACCTTCTTCACTGCCGCCGCACACTGAGTTGACACTTTCATCGAGTTGTCCATCAGCACACTAAGATCACTTTCCTGATCCGTCACTGACAGCTTAGATGATAAATGAAGTTTTTTTTTTTTTGCCCCAACGTGCATTAATTTACATTTTCTTATACTGAAATGCATTTGCTATTTAGCTGCCCATTCTCCCAGTTTGGAGAGATCCTTCTGGAGCTCTTCACAATCCCTTCTGGCCTTCACCCCCCCAAAAAAATATTTTGTATCATCTGCAAACTTAACCACCTTATTGCGTTTTATTCCAGGTCATTTATGAAGTTGAAAACCACCGATCCCAGGACAGATTCCTGGGGCACAACGCTTTCAACATCTCTCCATTGTGAAAATTGCCTGTTTACACCTACTCTCTGTTTCCTGGTTCTCAACCAATTCTCAATCTATAAGAGGACCTGCCCTCTTATCCCCTGACTGTGGAGTTTTCTCAGCAGCCTTTGCTGGGGAACGACGTCTAACGCCTTCTGAAAATCCAGATAGACAATATCCACATACCTATTGACCTTTTCAAAGAATTCTAAAAGGTTTGTGAGAGAAGACTCACCCTTACAGAAGCCATGCTGATTTTCCCTCAGTAAGGTTTGTTCTTCTATGTGTTTTAAGATTTTATCTTGGATGAGGCTTAGCACCACCTTCCCTGAAACAGATGTTAGGCTAATCGGCCTATAGTTTCCCGGGTCCCCCCTCCTTCCCTTTTTAAAGATTGCCATGACATGCGCTATCCTCCAGTCCTCTAGCACTGTGGCCATTTTAAGGGATGAGTTGCATATTTTAGTTAAGAGATCAGCAACTTCCTTCCTCAGTTCCTTAATAACCCTTGGATGGATGCGAGCTAGGCCTGGTGACTCATTGAGCTTCATGGTCTGGACCTAGAGGACACCACCTGACATAACTCATCCACTTTGCTCTATATAATGACCACTCTGGAAACAACACACTTCTATTAATCTGAAGAAGACAGAAGCCATAATATCTTGCCATATTTTATTTTTCTGTTTTGTTAGTCGTCCTACTAAATGTCAACCATACAGAAAATTTATACTAACCTCTGAGCTCCTGGTGGTAGCCCTTTCTTTTCCAAAACTTGCCCATTGTGGCTCCAATGCACTCTTTCTAAGTTAGCCATGACACCACCATGGTGCACATATGGAAGAGGCCTCTTGTTTTTATCAAGAATACACTCAAAGTCTGAAAAGACAAAAATGGTCAATCCTAAGAAATGGAAAAGTGTGTGATTTTCAGAGTTGAACTTGCTATTCTAATGCTGAAATTAGGTATTACAACATCAGAAGAGAAAAAGAACATTTGCAAGGTGGTAAAACTCATGCACCACAGCAATGATGCAAACTGTTATGTTACTCAGGCAGTTATATTTCTACATATAGACACAAGCGTTCACTTATAGCCTACCATCCATTTAGAAGGATAGGGTGCTCATCCATCAAAAAACTAATCAGGCATGACCCAAACTGAACTTTCAAAAATGCTAGATAAGACACTGGTCTATTTAAGGTCAGAGTAATCCTTACACTTTAATATCAGCCATTCTCAACATTTTTAGGCCATGGCCCTTTTAGGGGCTCTTCTCAGGTTCCAAGCCACCCTGTCAAACAAGGATACAACCCTAACAGATAATCTTTCAGAAACGTCTCACATTTTTCAGTCTGTGGCTCCCTTCAAATGTGCAAGGGAGGGCAGGGGGCCATATGCCCCCTTGTCAAGAATGGCCAATTTAAAGAACCATAACTGTTGTTCATATAAGCAATAGTTTATTGATGGTTGAGCTGCTTATTCACTGCTCGTCATATAAGTGTCATCCCACTGATATTAGAGGCTCCAGCCTGTTTGTGAGTTTTACACTGAGATCTAAAACACAGCAACTAAGCAGGATGTGTCAGTAAAATATACTTCCAGTTAGAAGCTTATACGTAGGATGCCAAGGCACTATCCTAGCAGAATTCACTCCTTGGGAAGCGAGTTCCTGTTTGCTTCCTACAGAAAGTTGCTTACATTAATAACATCAGGATGCAACTTTGCTGTGAAAAGCCATGATATTTTTTTTGAAAACGGAGAGACAATGCGCTCTATCACCTGAGCACACCTCCACTCAAAAAACTTGTGAAAATAAAAACTTAAGCTATACAATAGTATAGAAATGGAGGCTGAAATCCTATTGCCTTAAACTTTTGTCACACAAGGAGGGTGACATCATCGGCCATGGCGATTTTTCAGATATAGAACACTTCTGATTTCTTCCCCAAAAGGCATGGGAAGGTACAAGGGGAAAAGTAAAAACTGTGCCTCCCTATTCAATTGCTTGGCGGAGAAGCCCTAACTAGATTTTACCCAACAATTAGATACTTCCGAATACTTAGCATCTTTGCAACAAAAGTGGTGCCGCTACTTTCAAGGAGAGACGGTGGACCTTCCAATAGGAAATGGGAAAGAGTCACAATATTACATGACAAGTTCCTTCGTTAACAGAGCTGCCTGACTGCACAATAACAGAATCCAGGGAATGGCAGCATGCCAATCCTTCCTGGATTTAGCCACCACCCCCAATACTAAAATGTGCTCCTGGAAGCTGAAAAACTCTCTATGATACACAATCAGGAGGAGAGCTGCTGTGGAGGGGCAAAACCGCAAACACAACTACAGGCATCACACTGGGTTCAAGCTAAAGTTTAGGAGAAGCTCCCCACCAAGGGCTAAACCAAAGATGACTTCCAATGAATTAAATACCCACCAAATCTATAGTAGTAAGGGGTAACTACGGACATCCTGGCAAAATTAGCTCCTCCCAAGGCTTCAACCAGCAACCTGTTAATCTGCTGTCGCAAGGCACCAGAGCTACCGCTACCTCGAAGAAAAACAAAACAAGATATTACAGAAAACCAGAAAAAGTAGAAGGAAGACAGAACAAAATGCCAACACTCGTTTCACCAATCTCCATCCCATATTTACCAGGTTTAGACCATTGTTGTTACTTTTTTTAAAAAAAAGCTTATAATTCTCCAGATAAGCCGAGTTTTCATCTACTGAAATTTTCCAGATAAAAATAAACAAGACTTTACAAAGGTTTGTAAAATAATATTTAAAATATATCTAGCATTTGAGAGGTTAAACTATTCACTGTTGTTCTGTAGCTGTTGACAGTAGTGTTCATGAAACCATGGGATTTGAAGCTCTGGGCACTCCAGGCAGACGGCTCTGTTCAGCTCCATCAGGTCAAAGCGCATCTTCTTGTTTATGGAATCTGATACCACTTATGCCAAAACATAAAGAGGGGAGAGAACATAAAATTTTCTATAAAATTTCATTGTGTACAGAAGACAAACGACAGATGCCTCAAAACTCCTTTGTTTTTAATGACAGCAAATATTTCTCCAAGACATACAACAAAAAATTGAACAAATGAAACAGTGGCTGAAATTCTGTTGCTTTGTTATGCACGTGGAAGGCGAACTCTTGCTTCCAGCAGGTAGTTAAGGGCTCCTGACTGGCATTCCTGAGCATACACCAAGCCTTCTGTGGGCATTGTAAAACAACAGGATTTCAACTTGTGTTACAAGATGCAACTTCTGAAGCAAGACCATAATGGAATATCAGATATGCATGTATGTACTGCCAATAACACCTCAGCTTGCCATGGTATATGATACTCAAACCACTGAAACATCCTAGTGAAAGACGAGGGCATCAAATTACTGTGCTTAATTCAATACATGCAACACAACATAAATAAGATTTTGAGTATATTAACTGAGAATCAGATAATGGCCAAAATAGAGGTTACTTACCTGCAATTCTGGTTCTTTGAGTGGTCATCTGTGAATTCACACTAATGGGTTAAGTCTGTGCTTGCGCAGAGGTCTCTGGAATATTCTAGAGCTGAAAAGTTTGCTAGGACCGTCCCCCTTGTACATGTGGTCTGCCCATCCTAGCGATTGCTTCAGTTCCCCCAAAGCCACTGCTGCTCTAAGAGTGAGACAGATGTGACGGACAGAGGGGAGGACAGGCAGGAAGTGTGAAATCACAGGTGACCACTTGAAGAACCAGATGTCACGTTCCTGGGGGTTACAACAGGAGAGTCCAATAATCCAGTCCTATGTCAGGAATCCAGGCAATGCAGAGCCGATATCCAAATACTAAAGCTAACTCACACAACGTAGTCCAGGGTCAGAGTCCAGTGCCAAAACGCACAGCGTAGTCCAGGGTCAGAGTCCAAAGCCAAGAGTCCAGAGAACAAGGTTCAAGGTTGTCAGGAGCGTGGATGCAAGCCAGAGGTTTGACATGTTGCTTCCACAGATTTCCAGCTGTCTGAGAGCTGTTTATATAGTAAAAACAGCCCTTGAGCTGCTGGAAGCCTTTTCATCCTGTCAGAACTCAGGACTAGTTGATCGGATGTTTCTGCGGGCAGCCTTCAAGCGATCCTCTGACCTTTTTATCATAAGTCTTCCCCAAAGCCTGGCCCTCAGCCTGTCTACTGGGGGAGGAGAATCTGGAGGCGATTCAGGTGTTTGTATTTCTGATTGCTCAGCATTCTTTTCAGCTACAGTTAACCCTTCAGGTTCCAGATCTTCGGCTGCACTCATGACACCAGAGTTACAGGTAAGTAACCTCTCTTTCTTCTTCGTGGTCTCTGTGAATGCACACTAATGGGTGATTAACAAGCATACCTCAAAGGTGGAGGGACATCACAACAAGACTGAGGATAGAACTGCACGTCCAAAACCCGCATCTGCCTTCGCATGCATGTCCAGACGATAGTGGGATGCGAAGGTCGATGGAGTTAACCAAGTGGCAGCCCTGCAGATATCTGGGTTTGGAACACCTCGGAGGAAAGCCATGGAGGTTGCCAGAGTCCTGGTGGAATGAGCCTTGACATTGGCCAGAAGAGGCTTCTGGGCGAGCTGATAAATCAGGCGTATGGTTTGCACAATCCATTGTGATATGGTTTGTGGGGATATTTGTGAGGTGGGTGAGAAGAAATAAATAAGTACTTTGACCTCCGAAAGGAAGTAGTCCTTTTGACATAGAAGGCAAGAGCGTGCCGTACATCCAAGAGGTGGAGTGATTTTTCAACACCTGTCGATGGTTTGGGGAAAAAAGTAGGCAGGATGATAGGTTGGCGAACATGGAAATCAGTAGCGACCTTGGGAAGGAAGGAGATGTCCGGATATAGGGTGACTTTATCCAGGTGGAACTGTAGGAATGGGGAATCCATGCGGAGCACTGTGAGCTCTGATGCTCTATAGGCAGAGGTGATGGCCACAAGAAACAAGACCTTGAATGAAAGTAGACATTCTGACGAGGTGGTGAGAGGTTCAAAGGGTGGAAGTGATAGACATCTGAGATCAATGTGTAGTGACCACTGGGGTGTAGGAGAAGGTCTAGTAGGGTTGAGGTGAGCAATTCCTTGAAGGAACTGTTTTAGGGTAGGATGTCAGAAAAGCAAGGTAGCATCTGAGTCTTGCGGCTGGTGTGCTACAATAGCTGAGGTACAGACCTTGATTGTAGATAATGATAAGTAACAATCAAATACAGTGGTGCCTCGCTTAGCAATGCTAATTCGTTCTGAAAAATTGCTGCTAAGCGATTTTATCGCTAAGCGAAACGCGGTTTCCCATTGAAATGCATTGCAAACCGGATAATCTGTTCCAAAAGGAATGAATTGCCGTCCTTAAGCGAAAATTGCCATAGGAAACATCGCTAAGCGAAACGCGGTTCCCCAACTGAAATGCATTGAAACCTATTCAATGCATCTCAATGGGTAAAAAAGATACAACAACAAATTAAAAAAGAGTCAGAACAAAGTCAGATTTTGGTTAACAAAGGGTTTATTAAGTGCACTTATGATTTCAAACATTTTAAACAGTAAACTTTAACTTTATAAATAACAGAAAAACATTTAAAAAACAGCAAACATGAGGCTGTTTAAACCATCATTAAACGAAACAGGGGACCCAAAATTTAATCGCTATGCGAAGCATGGTCCCAACCATTGCTAAGCGAAAATCGCTCATAGGGACCATCGCTAAACGAAGTGCAAAAACGCTCCGAAAAAGTCATAGCTAAGCGATTTCATCACTAAATGGAGCGCCCGTTAAGCGAGGCACCACTGTAGATAGGAGAGGAAGGACAAAACTGCTCAAAGAGTAGCAGGTGCAGTAGGAAGATAATTCCTGTGCGCAAACTGTTCCATACCGTGGTGTCAGTACCGACGACTGTGGCAGTATGGCTTAGGTGGTAGTTCGAAGTACATCGGTGGTTCATAGACAGTAACATGTTTGGGCCAATGACAATGAGCCCTAGAGCCTGGCGATACTGGCAGTCCTGAATGACTCGGAGGCTGGCAAGTAACGGTATTGGAGCAGCCAGTGTGATCGGATTGGTGGAGTTTAGATTTCCTCTTCTTGACAGTAACTGGACTGGGAATGGGCATCAATCCAGACTCACACCCCAATATAGAGCTAGCCAAAGATTTGGGGCTTGAATAGGCTGAATCTTGTAAGGCGTTTATTTCAGCTGAGGTATCTGCCCAGGATGGGGACAGAGCAAGCAGAGAATAAGGTGGCTGTCCCGAAGGTGGCGGGATGTACTCCTTCCCTGTTAGTGTCAAGGTCGATGGTTGGATGACCCGGTACCGACGAGGACCGTACCAAAGATTGTGGTTCCACCGATGGCTTCTTCAACTTCTTTGGTTTGGTACTGATGGACTTTGGTGTAGGTTTGGATGACGGAGTAGAATGAGTTGTAGAGCCAGACGATTTAGATTTAGGAGGTCTGGATTTGATTTTTGGAGATTTTAGCGGTGAGTTGATCACTGAGGAAAGTGGTAACTGGGAAGCCTGAGCATTGTCCATTTTAGACGGGGGTTGAAGGGGTTCCTCCCACAGGAAGGATCTAAGTCATTGCTGCCGGAATTTAATGGCCTGTTTGATAAAATTTTTGCAGTTGGAGCAAGTGGATGGTTGGTGCGATTCTCCGAGACAGAACAGACAAGTGCTGTGACCATCAGAGACCGGCAGCTTTTTTGTGAAGGAGATGCACTTCTTGAAGGGGCCCATTGGGGCCATAAACGGCGGGAAGACAGGGAAACAAGGGAGGGGGCGGAAAGGAGGTACAGTGGTGCCTCGCTTAACGAGTGCCCTGTTTAACAATGAATCCGCATAGCAATGAGGTTTTTGCGATCGCAAAAGCAATCGCATTGCGATGTTTTAGATGGCCAGAAATTGCTTTGCAATGATCGGTAAGCGTTTCGCTTACCGATTTCTGCATAGCGATGTTTTAAAAACAGCTGATCGGCGATTCCAAAATGGCCGCCAGAAAAAACGGCCACCCACAGTGTTTTTGCGCCCTTTCCACGTTTACCGGGCAGCGGAAATGGCGGCTGGATGGAGGATTTCCGCCTAGCGGTGAGTTTTTTCCCCATAGGAACGCATTAAACGTGTTTTAATGCGTTCCTATGGGGTTTTTCCCCCGCATAGCGACGAATCCGGATAGCGACAATTTTTTCGGCACGGATTATCGTCGCTATGCGGGGCACCACTGTATAAATCAATCAAGTAGTGATACAAACGATTTATTGAAAGACGATTGGTTCTTTTTCAAAAAGAACCAATTTACGCGAATGGAGCTCAAGAGATGAGACCTCAGCAGCGGCACAAAGGAACTGAGGCAATTGCTAGGACGGGCAGACCACATGTACAAGGGGGGCGGACCTAGCGAACTTTTCAGCTCTAGAATATTCCGGAGACCTCTGCGTAGGTGCAGACTTAACCCATTAGTGTGCATTCTCAGAGACCACAAAGAAGAAGCTGTTGCTTAGCACAGTACATTTCACTAGAGTAAGCCCACTGAATCACTGCCAATTTGGTGAGTCAGCTCCTTTATATGCCACACTTGCACAGGTGGTATGTCCCCCAACACCATCCAAGAAATGTTCTGGTTTACTTAACTGGGGAAAGAGAAAAGTGCAAGGCGGGCTTACTGTCACATTCATTTTTGTCTACAGAGGAGAACCACCATTCCATGATGGGGAAATTGATTCCTCTCAAAGACAGCTGTAATTACTGAGGTAGCAGGCCAGGACATCTTCTAAAGGGGAGGAAAGTTGTAATCCCTGGAAGTAGAGGCCACTGCAGAAATGTGACTCATTACCAAGCAAACACGTTAACCCAATGGTGGACCAAGTACAGCCCTGTGGGGCTGCATGTGCATTAGACTAGCATGGGATTTGTAGCCCCTTTGCAAAAAACAACAAAAAGTTTTACCAGGAGAGGGAAGTGGGGGGAGAGAATGGCCACTTCTGGAAGCCTCCGGGCGCATTCAGCTCCCTTGGTCTTTTCTCTAGGTAGTAAGGGCCCCTACTGTGTTTCAAATGGGGGGGGGGAGAAAGAAAGAAAATAGAACATAAACAAATTCTAAGAACCGGAAGAGGATTTCTGACCACCTCAGTTTTTGTTATTTTGTCATTTGTGTGTCCTGCATGGTCATCTGAAGATCCTGGGCAAAACAAATTGGACTCTAGCTCACTGAAGTTGCTCACCTCTCCGTTAATAGCTGGAGAACTACCATTAGCCATGAGTGGGTGGCAAGTCTGGATGAGCCCAAGCAGTGTCACAGAACAATCAGAATTCAAATGTTAATTTCAAGTGTGCTTTAAATGAATAAGTAATATCTCCCACCTGCCCCCCTCCACTATTCACTCCAGGACGCAATGCACTACCTTGTGCTCCTTCAGCATGTTACCCCTGAAAATGCTTACATTTCCGAGGCTAGGCTGAGGTAGGAAGTGAACTCGCCCAAAATATATGGACAACATTTTACTTTCTTCCTGTCTTAGGTTAGGATAGCAACTGTATGAGACAGACTGAGTTCCTTACGAGATTGAAATCTCTTTTCAGGAACTCATGTGTGAACAGGGTGTTACTTCTGCATATTTGGCACACGACAAGTTAGGGGCAAAGAAGGAACCCACATGGCCCAGTTTTCGAAGTTAAGAATAGAGATACGCTGTCGGAAAGCAAAAGGCCTTCGATTAATTCAGTGAGTTCATCTTCTACACTTTATTCTTCAGTGAGTGAAGAATGATGAAGCCTGACAATACAAAAGGCCTTTCCTATCCCAAGCAAAAGACAACTTCTACATATTTAGGTGATGCAAGAGTATTCCAAAGGAATATCCAAACTTTAAAAGATACATATAGTAATATTAATTATCACTTACTTTCAAGCTGATTGTCCAGTCTGGCTAGGAACTCAACATTAAATATAGTCTTTATTAGGGTCTCTGGAAAACGCCCAGTAATCGCCAAATCCAGGCTCATCAATACAATAATATGTGGCTCGAAACTATCTGTAAAAAAATACGTAGAGTCATACATTTAGTGAGCTTATTTTTCCATAGGCAGTGAAACCGATAGGAAAACTGACCTGCCTGAAGAAACTCAAATTCGGGGACAATAAACATGCAAGTGCAACATACTTGCATTGTGTGCTTATCTGATATAATTCTGCTTCTCAAACCAGATTCTAGCATGGTTATGCTTCCTTTATGGGGAGGGAACAGAAGGAGAAAAGGATGTTCAACTTTGGGCATAGGTTAGGCTGAAAAACAGTGAACTTGACGCCTTGCTTTACTGAACGTTCCCCTCCCTCTCTC